GCTAAGGTGCTGGACGACGGGGGGCTCTTTGACTTTGATGAGCTCGAAGAGGCCGAGCTGCTGCGATGAGGCGGGGATGGGGCGAGAAAAACCGCGTCGCTGGTGTCCAGGGTGTGGGCACTTGTTTCAGTGGCACCAATGATTGTTCCTTTTTTTTGGTGGCTGCCCCACTAAAGATGGTCTTCCCCGAAAAGTGTTCCCTTTTTTTCTTCAGGGTCACTGAACAACTGAGGGGTGTGCACTTGTTTCAGAGGTGCGTTCCGTGTCCAGTACCGGCAACATTCCAGGACCCTTTCCCACCATGGAACCTGACGTAAGGCACGTGGTCTCTTTAACACCCAGATGGTCCAAACCAGGACCCCCCAACCTCAGGTTCTATGTTAGCCGTCTTGGGGGCTTATCTGTCATCCTTCCCACCGGTTTGAGTTGGAACCTGACGTAAGCGAAATTGTCGCTTTAAAAATACAATTGTCCAAACCCCCACCTTTCTTTGGGGCTTCCTTGTCATCCCTCCCGCCAGTTTTACCTGGAACCTGAAGTAAGCGAAATGGTCTCTTTAACAGGAAAATGGTCCAAACCAGGACCCCCCCAACCTCAGGTTCTATATTAGCCGTCTTGGGGGCTCTTCTGTCATCCTTCCCAACGGTTTTAGTTGGAACCTGACGTAAGCGAAATGGTCGCTTTAAAAAGACAATTGTCCAAACCAGGACCTCCCCACCCGTCTTTGGGGATTCCTTGTCATCCCTCCCACCAGTTTTACCTGGAACCTGAAGTAAGCGAAATGGTCCTTTAACAGGAAAATGGTCCAAACCAGGACCCCCCCAACCTCAGGTTTTTTTTTAGCCGTCTTGGGGGCTCTTCTGTCATCCTTCCCAACGGTTTTAGTTGGAACCTGACGGAAGCGAAATGGTCACTTTAAAAAGACAATTGTCCAAACCAGGACCCCCCCCACCCGTCTTTGGGGCTTCCTTGTCATCCCTCCCACCAGTTTTACATGGAACCTGAAGTAAGCGAAATGGTCTCTTTAACAGGAAAATGGTCCAAACCAGGCCCGAACCTCAGGTTCCATGGTAATTGGTGCCCTCAGTCAGGTTCCATGGATGGGAGGGCACCCTTGGGCTCCCTGCACCTTTGCGGCCCGCTGAACACATGTGCGCCACGTTTAGACAAGTTTGCGCTTGCGTGGCATGTTTTTGGGCGTCCCTTTGGTTGCCAGCTTTAGTGGCGAGCTCATGTGGAGGTAAGACGAGTTCGCTTTTTGCTTGATTTCTAGATCAACTGGCCGCTTTGCTCAATGCCGCAGATTTGGCTCTGAATTGCTAGCGGGACTTGTTTGGTATGAATGAACATCGGTTTATCCTTTGGTTTCCGGGGTGGGCAAGCAAGAGTCATAGACGAACATTTTAGTGCGTCGCGTTTGCGCTGCAGGTCGTGGCGTGAGGCGTGGGAGGTACACGTGCGCAATGGTCGAAATGCATACTTTACTTGGGCTTACTAGCCCAGCCGAGGGGTTTGGCAGGGTGCCTTTAAAATAAACTACCGAGAGAGAGGGACAATGTTTGACGGTCATGGCCACCGACATAAGGCTTTTTGACCATGCCACACCGTTTTCAAGAACAGGTGGACAGCTTGCACAGTCTTCCAATTACTGCAGCGGCCACCCGTAGCAGCGGTGGTCGTCGCGATTACCGCACGACCGAGATTCAGGCGAGCACTTGGTTCTTCTATGATTTGCTTTGGGTTTGCTATGCGCACCTTGTCAAAGAGAGCGCGAGGAGTGGATGGACAGTTCTGATTGTCGCAGATGTGTTTGGATGTCGTATCCCTCTACGGATATATTTTGTTTTACCAAGTTGCACGAGTGCTTGATTTCGGCTGGGCAAAGAGCCCGCAGACCGGGTGCTTGCACTTGGCTCCTGGGCCCCTAGTCCCCTGGGCCCCTCCCTAGGGCTTGCCGCCCAACGGTCCGATGGGCGGGGGTGGTCCTTAGAATCGTGTCCAAAATGGCTGGCTTCCTGTTGGTTCCTTCAAATGCCAGCACAAAAGTGGATTCACCATGCTCACTGAAACCTCCGGATTTCGAAGTCGACTTTGTGAGGCAATGTTCACATCCCTTGCCGGGTGCCAAAACATACAAAAAACAAAGGCACGGGCTTTTGATTGTCAAAGCAGGCAACCGTGTTCCGTTGTTTCCGCGCCTCTTGACTTTTTAGTGGATGGTTCAAATGAACGCCTGAATGTATTCGTCCGTTGGGCGGTTTCAACCAGAATTTGGCCACAGAAACTTTCGAGTTCACCTATGAATAATTTCAGGGGACAATTTGCATGTGTGTACATATATGTATATGCATATTCACATGTGTATATATGTATGTATATGCATATATATATATATATATCCGTGTGTTGTTTAGTGTGTATATGTGTATAGTATGTACATGCGCATGCATACGCGTTGAGCCTTTGTTTTATTTCGCATGGTTTTGTTACAGATTGCTCAACGCACAATAGGCCTGGTTTCCCTGTCAAGTGGTAACATTTGTCGTACCCTCCAAGTACGGAGGAAGACACGTAAACTTGACTGCTTTTGGGTTGGAACTTTAGACTTTAACTTTGTGGAAATAAAGGTGTCTTCCACTAAACCCCAAAAAAGTTACACTTTTTGCAGGGGGGTCAACAGCAACCAAGTAAAGAAGTTCTGACCTTCCGGCCAATTCACCCCGAACCGGACACGAAAGCTTTTCCCCGGACGTTGGGCGAACGGGACGGGACGGGCCTGAATTGATTGCTTCTAGTTTCACTGCGCGAGGCTTGGCAGTTCCGGTGCCACGGTCAAAGTAGAATCAACCTTGAAGATTAACTGGGATGTTCCCCCTAAAAGGTGAAGGAGCCCTTCGGAAATAGGACACGCCCCCCAGCAAATCTACCAGGGTTGATCAATCCGGGGTTTTGGTGCGGTTCCCCCAACCTGACATGTGAGAAAAAAAGTGTGTCCCCTGGCTGGGATTGAGCTTTGCGCGGTACTAACATGATGAAAGAACGCAGTCCAGATCCCACTGTGGATGGATTTCGCCCACCCTCAACCATGGTTGACGCCATTGTTTGTTGGTACCCATAGGGGAGTCATCATTCCAGGGTTTCTTAGATGGTGCAGGATTCCGTCCATTCACAGCAGGTTCAGGGTTGCACGTATGCCAAGCTTCGGGTTCTACACTTGTCCCGGATGCCTTTGACCCCCACACCCCCAGAGTTCTCACAACTTGGTCGGTCCCTAGGCAGCCAAAGCGAATCATTCTGATTCGACAAATGGTTTCAACCACTTCACAAGATGTTGGGCCGGGAAACCACAAGGAAGCCACAGATTTCGCGCTTGAGGGGAGGTTCCAAGCAAGCTTCATGTCTTTTGGGCCTTTAAGGCCGTCAAGCCCTGCTCGTCCAATTCAGTGGGTCTCGGGACCCGGCTTCAAACGAGTCTGCAGGTCTGAGGGTCAGATGTGTTTTGGAGAGCTGAAGCTGGGGCGAAGTCCTGAAAAATCACAGGAGCAATTTGGAACCCCCAAATGGGGGTGATGAACTCGCTGGGGTTTTCCGGCGGTTGAGGGATGGATCGGAAACGAGCCTGAATAGGGATGACCTCTTGGCAACTTCCCACCGGCTCTTTTTTTGGCCAGGATTTGGGGCGTTGGCAAATCAGCCGGGGGTTCTCTAGAGGTTTCTTTGGCACCACAGAACGAGAAAAAGAGACGCGAGCTGTTCATGCGCCCGCCCGTTTTTTGATGCATGACGTTCCAGCATAGGCCTTGGAGACCAAAAGCTTCAGACTCCTGTTGCCGAAGGTCTGGCTTACAGAGCAATGGATTTCAACATGAGCCATGGGCTAAATTAGACACACGATCCTCATGGATGGCTTGTGGGGTACGTCCTTCAGGGTCAGGAGGGGGTGGATTTTGGCCGTCTTCATTTTGGAATTCCATTTGTATGGTTTGCTTTTGCCGCGTTTGTGAGCAAAGAGTATGAAAAGGACCAGGACACCCATCCCGCGCAAGCAGTTACCCCCACCCCTTAAAATTAGCGGAAGGGAGCCGGCTGACTTTCCACTTCTTCTAGTTGTTTTTTGGGAAGACACAAACCCGCATCCCCCTCACACAGGGGGCGGGGATGTTGGGACCTTTCGACAGGCATTCCTGCAGAGTCGTCTTATTTTTTTCTTCCGGAGCCGCGATCGCATCGCCCATCGCAAGGTCTAAAATGTGCGCTGGTGCGGCTGTTGACAGCATACTCCTTGAACAAGTGGGAATTAGAAGGGCCAAACAAGTATACTACTATGGTCATGGCTGAACATTGCTTAAAGCACACCACAAACCTATTTTACTATTTAGGCGATTGCATGATCTGGAGTCGCGGGAATCGTTTTGCCTGCTAAATGAATCAGACTAGTAACGTAGTCTCTCTCCCTGAGTTCATGGACTTTACACTTTCTGGGAAGACAGTTTTAGTGGTAAATAACAAGTTCTGACTTTTTGTGCCAGTCCACTCAGGAAGTGAGTAGTGAATCGTAAGCACGCCCCGTCAAACAAATTAGGGGATTGAGAGGGGAGCACCTAAGAACAAATTGGGGCCAGTAGTCTGTATAATGTCTCAGTAGTTTTTAGAATTGGTTTAGTATTTGTCTAGTATTCTTCGGTACTGGCCCAGAGATTTTTTTGCTCAACTTTCACCCCTTAAACATGTATGTTGTTATCGAGTATTGGTTTATTAAATATCGTTCAGTATTGCCTGGGCTTGAGATCGTGTTTTTTCTCACCCCAAGACATGCAGCCATATTTTTTCCCACCGAATAAGAACATCTCGTCTGAACTTATCCCCCTTTTCCTTTTCAGGGTCGGGAATATCGTTTTGGAAACCTGCTTGAATTGCCTCCCCTTTGATCATTCGGTATGCAACATTAGTGGACTCTGCCTCAGAGCTAATTGAGCTTGTTTTGGCACTTCCTCCCACTAACACCTCGCTTATTTCTTTTTTTGATGCCACGGAAGTGGGAGGCCGGGTAGGTCTTTTGGACACGGATTCTTATTTATTGAATCTCTCAAGTGCTCGTGACTTTGTCATGATTTCAAAGCGTGCAGCCACGCGAGACCGAGTGTGGATGTGCCACAAGACCCATTCAAGACTTGCAGGGCTGGGCTAGCTTCTGAACATGTTGAAACCACAACTCGCTTCCTGAGCTCCGGCTGTTGGCCAATTGACTCAGGACGTCACTCATTATTACAACAGTTGCCCCCAATTTTCAGACATTACTGTGAATGCGAGCGCACCGCCATGCGCCAAAACACAACTTCACGCGCGTGGTCTTTTTGGACGTGGACGGGGTTCTGAACTCGGCCGCCGAGCATGCCGCAGGCGGGTTACTGGGGTTCTGCCGTGCCAGTTTAAAGTGAGTTTCCTTTTGGGGCCATGTTTAGAGGGAAACTACGTATGGGTCAAAATGAAACCATCAGGGGACCACAGGTTGTTGTCCTGGTTCCATTTGCCAGGGTTCCACTTTCGGTACCTATTTTTTGACTGCACAGCCGTATAGGGAACCCTCAGGCTTGGGTGATCAAAGATGGATGCGCCAAGATGGATGCGCCAGTCCAAGGAGATAGGAACTGTGACCAACACTTCCGTGGCTCTCCAGACGACGCCTGCCTTTGTTTCACCAGGGTTTAGTCTATCCATCATGGAACCGCACAAATCCCCCGGACAAAGCAACAACATGCCTCGCACATGCAGCAGACTAGATTTTAGTAGTCATTTGTTGGTTTGGGAGAACCGGAAGGGGCGGGCCCACCCGTCCCGTCCCCCGCAATTCCCATAACAACTAGGGCATCGGGCGTAGAGCTTTTCGATCTCGCCAAGCCCGCTGGGTTTGTCTCCCCTGGGGGCCGTTTTGATGAAAAGGACCATGGTATCTTCAAGCAAGACATGAGCAAGTCACTCCCAAGAATAAGGCAAAGAACCCCAGTTTCTGACTTTGACATCGAACATCTTTGCCATCCCAATGCTCCAGTAGCTGTGGGTCCAAATGCGACGTACAAGCTCCCCTGCAGAGTTGAGCAACCCCGTAGACCACAGGCTTCAGGGAATCCCGAATGAGTCGTTGCTTAGGCGAAAGGCGGCTCAACAGGTTGGTCACAAGGGCGCCCCTCACCTAGGTTCCCTGTGCCAGTTGCTGCCCCGTATCATACCCCAGCAATGATCACTTCAGCAGGGTTCGAAATCAGTTTGCTTGCGATAGAAGGGGGGCTGGACACCGGCGCAAAGAAAAGCTGTGGCAGCGTAAGCCGCGCAGTGTCGTGTATGTGCAATGCGTGGGTGAGAGCAGAGCTGCCCCCTTTGCCATGCGCATGTTGTTAAACCACATCGTCTGAGCGCCACTCATGTGACCATAGGGTAAAGGCACTCTGCAAATCGTCGAGCCATTGTGGATGGACGAAACCCTGCACCACCTGGCAAACCCTGGAATGATTCGATCTCCCCTGTAAATACCAATCAACGGTTTCAACTTTCAAGCATGGTTTCAAAGTGGTGCAGGATCTTGAGCAGGTAACTTCCATTTGCTTAAGCCCGAAAGAACCAATAAAAAGTCTTTCCAGTAGTGATGCATTCCCTTTAAAACCAACAAGGGACAATACCGCAAATATTCTTAGTCAAATGCAAGGTAATGAGTTGGCCGCCTGATGTTTCCCCAGGCAGTGACTACATTCCGGTGGGCAGCGGCGGCCTTTGGCTTGAGAGGCGGGTTGACCCTGAAGCCGCACCAAGCATGGGTGTGTTGTTTTGTTGAGGGTACCCTCTTTGCATTGGCTCATAGAAACCAACCATTTTGAGGGTAGCCTAAGGTTTTTTTCGTTGAGGGTGCCCTCTTTGCGTTGCCTCAAAGCGAAACCAAAACGAAACCAACCATTTTGTGGGTCTATGTTGGGACAAGCCCTTGTTGGGAGATCGCTTTCTGCCGGCAGATTCCTTCGCGATTAACTTGATTCGGGGGATATACAATTGTCAATGGCAACTCACTCGTGACCACCGGGCCAGATAAACCATGATAAACCAGTCAGCTCTCTAAAGACCGACAAAGACCGCCTCAATATTGCGTTGTCCAAGCGATATATGAGTGTGGTCCCTGAATTGCGGAACACCAAGCAAGGCTCTCAGCCGTGAGCGGCGGCATGCGGCCATGGCGTACGTCGGGCAATGCGACGGGCTGAACACATGTGAGGCCAGGGCCCAATGAGGCGCAAGGCCAACGGCCTAGGCATCCCTCCCAAGGCTTCCAGTTGCTTAAGAAAATGTGTTTATTTCCCCTTGCTGGTTTTAAAGGGAATGTATCACTACTGGACATGTAAAAAAAAATCGGGCTGAAGCAAATGGAAGAAAGGTAGGGCGATGACTCAGCGCAGCGGGGGCACCGCGTTCGCGGTGGCCTCTCTAGGAACCTCCTCCTGCGCCTGCGGGACTTGCTGCACGTGGGCCAGGCACGGTGGGACTTCCTGGGGGCGACGTGCCTGAAAAATCCCAAAGATCTGGCGAGAGGTTGTGGGAGACTTGAACACCTTGATTTGCTTAAGTGGTGTTTCAACTGTTGCTGTATGTAAAGGGAATCTATCACTACTGGGAATATGTTCATTTAAAGGGAATCTATCACTACTGGATTTGTTGTCCAGGGGACAAACACGCATATCGAGGACACCAAAATTAAGCAAAAAATGTAGGATAAAACAATCATGTTTGCATTTGTTCTACGCCAATTCCGGTGCATGGAGTCCACACTTGTTTCGAAAGATCAACGAATGGATTTGTTTAGTTTTTCCCTTATTTTGTTTTTGCGTGTGTGTGTGTGTGTGTCTCAGCTGATGTTGACTTTGGGGCATATAAGTAAGCACCAAGTCTGAGCAATTCCAAAGAACTTCACTCTGCAGCCTGCCAGCCAATGGCCCGCCCTCTGGACTTCAGGCCAACCTGCAACCTGTTCAAGCGGCCTCACATGTTCATTAGGCTTCTCTTCAAGGGACACTGCATTTGATTCTTTGAGCAACTCTTTTGGCGCGTGCCTTCATGTTGTGTTGCAAGTATAAATGCGGTTCTGAGCTGTTCTTGTGTTTGTTTGCTTGTTTGCTTGTCTGATTGTTTGTGTGTTTGTTCGTTCGTTTGATTTTGTTTGTTTCTTTTTTAGAAAGAAACACCCCAACTCACCTGCCGATCTGTTTACAACTAGAATGGTCTTCCCAAACTGACAAAACCTGAGTCCATAATAACTTTGTTTTTTGGCTTGTTGATTTGTTCAGTTTGGTCAGTTGTGGGCTTGTATATACATATATGGGTCGATTTAGGCTGTTGTTTGTTGAGTTAGTTAGTTAGTTTGTTTGTTTGCTTGTTTGTTTGTTTGTTTGTTTGCTTGTCCGATTGTTCGTTGGTTTGTTTCCTGGTGTGTTTGTTTGTTCGTTTCTTCGTTCGCTTGTTTCCTTGCTTGTTTCCTTGCTTGTTTCCTTGCTTGTTTGCTTGTTTGTTTGTTTCTTTGTTTGTTTGCTTGCGAGTTTGTGGGTTGGTTGAGTTGGAATCGCTGGGCTTCTTTGCACCGGCGAACACCAGGCGCACGTGGTGGTCTCCTCCAGCTGGCGCCGAGAGCAGGCGGCCATTGAGGCGGGTCACCAGTCCTGGGCCTCACCTGGGTCGACACCAAAATCTGGTTCCCCCAGCCAGGTGACCTTTTTAACTCCTTTTTCAGGGGAGGGTTCCCCTACTAGAATAGACCACCGAAAAAAAAAAAAAAAAAAAAAAAAAAAAAAAAAAAAAAAAAAAAGGAAAAAAGAAAAAGAAAAAAACAAGTACCCTTATTCCAGCCTCTCTACGGACCTAGCCATCCTTTTTGAAAGAGACAAATTGGTGGCTTCCCTCACTTTCAGTGATTCAAGACCGTTTGCCGCTTTTTGCTAGAATGTTACTTCCTGACTTTTTCGCGCTTTCGCCGCTTTTCAGGCTGCAGCCTCTTGATTCACCTGTTTGTGATGAGTAGAGCCGAGTAAGACAGAATGAAAGATGGGTGGCTTCCCTCACTTCCTGAGTTCAAGGTTTTTATCCCGCCTTTTGTTGGAATTTGCACCATTTTGGTGGTTAAGCACGAACTTTGGGTACTTTGTTTAGTGGATCAATCCACTCGGGAAGTGACAGTGAGTGGCTTTCAAGTCGGGCACCGCCTATTCTAACTAGTCCCACAAGCCCGGTCGGTTGCTCCTCTTTGTTTGCCTCTTCGGAGTGCTCCGATCAAAACCAACCACCACGAAAAGTGTTTTGTTTTCCCATGGATGGAAACCAGCTAGAGGAATTTGTACAGGAAGTCCCTGTTTTTTTGTGTTTGTGTAGTGGCCATGTGGCTGGATAGTTTTTCAGCAGTTCGGGCTTGCAAGCCCGGTGCAAGGCTCTCAAGATAGCCTGTGCTCAAGTGGGCATCGCTCTTTGGCGCTTCATCGGCCTCTTGGATGAGAAAGCTGCAAGGGGATGGCGGCTGCTTGGTTGTTGCTGGGACACATTTTACATGTTTGCTTATTATGGTTTAGTGGGAAATCCCCACTGAACTGCTATTTTTTGTTGCTCCCGTTCCAACGTCAACCAAGTTGGACGGCTCACCAAATCGTCCCTTTCTGTTTGGACGGCTTCGCCACCGATGGACGAGCTCCGCCGAGTTCCCTTCTTGCTGGGCGTTCCCACATCACATGGTGAAGCCACAAGACATGTTCCGTTTTGTGTTTTGCAATTGGGTAATCATTTGCAGCAACCCCAACCATCTGGTTTACCTTGGCAGGGCTCACTGAAACTGAAGCAACCTTTAGACCTTTTGATTCCCCCACTTTCGCGTACTTTCTGGAAGTGGTGGAGGGCCTTAGCTTGATCTTCCACCCACATCCAAGCATGCCCACTCCCACGATTTTGGTGACAAGGGTGCCTGTACAGCAAACCATGTTTGTTCTGGCGTAGCATACGCGAGGCCACCTTTTTGGTGGTTCAGGGTTGCTTGCCTCTTGAACCCCTAGTGACGGAACAGCAGCGCACTCCCTGTGACATCAACCAAGAAAACGAAACGGGTTGCAAAGAAGCTTTACCGACCCTATCCTTGAGAACAAATCACAAAAGGAACACTTGGCTCCAGGCGCGAAACTATGTAGCATGTATGGTACATGTTTCGCATAAGCTTGGAGGCATGATTGATTGTTCATGTTTCGCAGGATGCAGCCAGTCTGCAAAGAAGCGTCCGTGTTTTTTTTCCGACATACTGGGTTGGACAGTTGATTGCAAGTAAACCATCCACAAGCTTGGGGAATTTACAGGGTTACCCTTGTTCCCTACTTGGAGTGCCCTACTTGGAATATTTAGGGCATCCCTCCATTTCCTCCTTTTGGATCTTCAAAAGTGGCAATTTTCTGTTGGAACCTGGAACCCCCTCATTTGCAACTTTTAAGGGGAAAATCCAGTGAGCCCCTGTTGTCAGCACCACTCCCCGAAAACATTGACAGACGGGCTTGCCTTTTGTGAAAGCTACCTCCTTTTGGTTGGCTTTAAAGGGAAACCGAAAGGAACACCGTTGCGCCTTTTTGGTGGGTCCAACCCAAAACTTCTGTTTGCTCGAGAATATGTTTTGGTTCCCCTGTTGGTTTCAAAGTTGGATTCGATTTCTCTACTGGACATATGTTTTCTCTTTCTTTCTCCAGGGGGCGTTCAACAACGCAAATGGAAGATGAAGCTTCCAGAAAAATTGAGACTCCTTGCTTCAGGCGTGGAAGCACAGCTGCAGCTGGGGACATTTGGTGTGTGGATGTGTGTGGAAAGAAGGTAAGCAGCTGGGGTTATGCAGGTTTTAGTCTTTGGTTCCATCTACCAGGGATCCATTTTGGGTACCATTTTTTTCCAGCCACAGCCCAATCGGTTCGGTTCCCCCTTTTGGGTTGGCTTAGGGAAACCACCAGGAAAACCGTTACGCCTTTTTGGTGGGTCCAACCGGAGAAAAACAAGAAAACAAACGCAAACACTCAACCGGATCACTCGATTCTTTCCCAGGCCAAACCTGCGAGATCCGTGTGGGCCGCACGGCGGCGTCCCGCCGGGTCGCGGAGATCCAGGCGTATCTTCGATGCAGCGCCCAGCGCCTCGGATGGGTTTTCTGCCTCACCCAGCCAGTGGGCACACTTTACACTTTTTTGCCTTGGTGGCTCTCCCTTTGTTTTAGTGATGGCCCAAAAAGTGTGCACTTGTTTTTGGCTGGTCACTGGCCAAGTGAGTTGCTGGTAGGTGCTCGGGTCTGGTTCCCAGCGAATTGTCCGGCTCCTTAGGTTTTTGTTTTTGGGTTTTTAGGTTCCTTAGGTTGTGTTTTTCCGTTTGATTTTTGTTGGTTTAGTGGGGTTTGGTATGGTAAACCCCACTAAAGCAGGACCTGAGGACAGCGCAGGGTGGGGTTAGGGTTGGCTTAGCTTCCCGGAAGCCCCAAATAGCCAAGAATCTATAGTTTATGCAAAGGGAAACCAAAGGGGGATGATCAAGAAACGTCCACCCAGGATGCTCTCCAGGCGTCTCCAGGAAGCTAAATTGGGAAGGTTGTCGGAATCTAGCCGCATTAAGCATACTGCTGCTCTTGTTTCGGTGTCATGTAGGGAATCAGGCGGGTTGGAGAGGAAAGGGAATTGCGGATGGAAGTGGGGATGTTTTATTCTGGGAGGGATGTTTCTGATATATAGGAAATAGGTCACAGCACCCAGTCCACAACAAGCTCCTGGAATCTATTTTCCTAGGAAAGGGGGAGGTCCCGTGCATAAATATAGATTCCCAAGCACCCAGAGTTCAATGAGCTGGTCTGGCCCCCTAACAAAGCCCAAAGGAGGCTGCGTAAACAAGGGGCGACTTGCTCACTTGGGGGTTGATCAATATTCCTGGCCATGGGTAACTCTTCCAATTTAGTGAGAAACATCATCCATGTAAAGGACGTTTTGACAAACCACGCATGCTTAAGCAACCTGTCGCTGTTCTCCCAACAGCCTGAGAGGCAATCCTGTGATCCAGGGGAGGTTTGCAGGGAAGGATTTGTCAGTGCTCCCAATCTTCCCCCTGTTCCAAATTTGGTTCTTCATTTCTTGGTGATCCCCAGCCGGCCCCTTAGTGTTTTAGCTGTTCAGTGGGGTTCTTCCACTAAACCACTAAGCACCGCTTCCCGGGGATCTTTCGCGGAACAGGAAGAGGGTAATCGTGCCATTTGTTCCAAGCCGAGGAGAAGGGTCCTCAGGAAGTGAGGAAAATGATTAACCCTATACTATTGCTGCGCAACCTAAAAAACCCACGAGGGGTTCCTTCGAGGAGACCGAATTTCGCGCCGAGGCTGGGCGTGCAGCAGTGGGTGGCGTGGCTTGACAAGACCAGTTTCTGAGTTCTCCTTTTTGAAACCGTGGGCTGTGGGAAATAAGTAGGGGATTTAGGGCCACTTTCCATAAGGGAATCCGCAGTGAAGTGAGAAAGTAGTCATCCACTTTGGTAGCACAGGGCTTATTTCCAACAATCATGTCTTGGAAGAGACGCACTTTTCAAAAGGAAAGTGGTTTTCCAGAAGCGTGCCTAGAGGAAGCTGAGAGGTGGAAGCAGGCCCAGGGCCATGCTTAGCTCATGAAGGTCCTTGATTGGAGAATCGGTTCTCGTGTGTCCAGTTAGGAAATAATTTGCCCGCATGTTTGGCATCTGATGTTTTTCCTACATGTAGGCACATGTGGCAAGTCCTTGTACCCATGACACGGGCTTCATATTTGGAGCTATTGAAGGGCCCATCTGGACTGATCAAACATTTCCTTCTTGGAGCGGCCGTGCCATCTCAATAGGGGCGTTCTGTGCGACGCCGCTTTCGTGCAAAGGTGCCTTGTGAGGCGCCAGGTGCTCCACTGATGCGCGTGGAATCCAAAGAAACTCCTTTGGGATGGCATCCCAATTTGCAGGGAAGATAATTGTTGCTATGTTTGTTAAGTTTGTTTGTATTCATTTGCCAACTGCTATAGCTTGCACAGGCGGGCAGGTATGAAACAGATTTCAGTGCCGGCAAAGGCCGCTGCTGTTTGTGACAAGTACGACACTGCTTTGGGGTTTAGACTTTGGTTCTTACAATCCACCGCCGAGTCAGCGAACAAGTCGCCTAGGCAAATTCGAAGCTGGGGCTCGAAAGTGCTCCATGGCTGGCCTGTGGATTTTTTTTTGTTTATGCGCGCGGAGAACTGAGTTCCGTTTTTGGCATCCCCAATTTGGACATACCCATGTCCGGTTCAAACATACCCAGTCAACCATGGTTCCAACAAGCACTTCGAGCCAAGGTTGGATGACATGGACCTAGCCAGCCAATGCCCACAGCACCTGCGCAAGAACATGATCCGCACCGATCCTCATCACGGGCTGCAGCCGGAGCAAGTGCAAGCTGCGCTGCAGGCAACTCAAATGCACGAAGTGACGAATCGACTAATCGATCCCCCAATAAAGGCGAAGCAGCCTTTTTGACCTTAGTGTGAGTCAACTTTTTAGTGGCCGTGTTTTGGGCAGCTGCCGGTCATGGCAACCCAATGGGCGGTCAACAACGACGGCGATTCGGTCGGTGGCTATACTAACCAGGCGTCTTGGTGATCGGATCCTATGACGCAAGCTTGAAGGCGAGCTGCCCAACAGAGACAAATCGAACCCGCCAGAAGGGCTTTGAGCACTCTCTTTGGAACCCTTCTAAGACACTTCTATGAACCTTTCCTGGGGGTGGGCTTTGGTTTCCTCACTATCTTCAAAGCTTTCGACTCAGACGGAGAGGTTCTTAGGACCTTCTTGAAAGGGACTAGGGTTCTGAATGGTTCTGAATGGTTCTGGGAACCTTTCCTGGTTGGCGTCCGAATGTGTCTCTATGTGAGGCCACTTGCTTGCATGCATGTCAAGCAATCAATTTTAAATATATGTCCATATGGATTGCACTCAGAAGAAGCAATCGGTACAGGTGTTTGTGCCTTTTATACGCATGACTCCATCGAATATCAGCAAACAACAGGGACAAACTAATTTAGTCACAACTATGCTAATACTTTCCAGGGCTTATCCACGTGGGACAGGTAACTGATGTATACCCTTTGGATACTCATGCGCAGCACACGGGTAGAAAATTGGCTTGGCTTCCGATGTCAGTTTTCCGGGGCCAAACTCCTGCCCCGATCGTGGCTTCGGAGCGACCCTGATCGTTTCAAGATTTATATAGGACATTTCTTCGGGGGTATATGTCAGCATCACCGTGCGTACGTGGGCAAGCGCATCCCATGGCCTAATGAGTGTAAAGCGGGGTACTTGCATAACGGCGCCCTTATTTCAAGCATTTGCTTGGTTTGATTCATGTTGTTTTTTGTTGCCTAACCACATGTGTTCAATTAGGCGTCAGGGATGTTTGCCAGAATCGCCCCGGTTTCCAGTGCAGGCTTGTTTGGGCATGGTCCCAACCCTATGCAGGACTGCTTTTGCAACCCTCTGTGCTTTATGAGTATTTCTGTGGTCGTTGGAACCCAGGAGTTGTCCACCAGGGGGTAATTACCCTCTCTCGCCAATTAACATGGGACCTGACAGGGGGGGGGGGGCCTAGAAGACCATTCTTCTTTTGAAAGGAACCATTTCCCTGTCAGGTTCCATGCTAATTTGTGGCAGGGTAATGGAGAGATACGAGAGTCCGCGCTAGGCTGTCGGGCCCAGGGATCAGATGATGGTGCCACACTTGCGATCGCGATCGCCTAGGGAACGAGAAATGGAGTATTCCCTTGAGAGGATAGGAGGTAGGGATGGTTGTTCTTGCAATCATTCCAAGTCTCATTCCCTGCCTATCGCCCCAGCAGGAAAAAGCAGAAGCCCTTGGACCCCGTGAGTGTAGAGGGCGGCAAGGTCCTTGCCAGGTGGTGTTTTTCTTTTGGGTGTTGTGGAAAGCGAAAGCAACAGGGGGATGGGTCATTTGTTTTCTACCTTTTGGGTTGTCACTGTTCGCGTCCCAGTCCGATCGGTCGAAGGGTCAAGTCCATAGCACAGTATACGCACATTCGCGTATGCTCATGACTTAGTTTCGCTTTAAAGTACCCCACAACCCTTCTAATTGTTTAATGTTGGCCCCCCATTAATCAATCCCAGTTTATGAATAGGGGGTGTCCTTGGGTTCAGTGGAGAATCAGCCCCACTTTTGGAGGGGCCAAAGACCACCCCCCTGTTAATAAACTGGTTGTTTGATGAAAATTTGGTCCTGGTCAACCTGATCTACGTTACTAGGTCCCCCAGTAGTGCCCTGTTACCCTTTGTTGGGGGAGGGTTCCCCTACTAAAATAGACTACAGCAAAAAAGTTGGTACTCTTATTCTAACCTCTCTACTGGAGGAAATAGAAACCCGATTTACGTTACGAAGGGCTTTTCGTCGCCAGGTCTTTGGCCTCTCGGAAAACCGCTGGGAGAGCCCCCCCCAGGGCAAAGGCGCGTCTGGTTCGTTCGATGCGCAGATCGGAGGATGGTGCAAGAGTTTGTCCCCTGCAAAGTGACGTGGGTTGCCCAAGAAGGATATCCCTGAAAAGGAGATTCCTCTACAAATGAGGTGTTTTTGTTGGGGTTCCATGTTAACCTGCACAGGCGTATCTGAGATCCCTTCGAATAATATTATTTTACACATTGAGTTCAAGAAACATGGGCCAGAATCAAAAACATGTCGCTTCGGGCTGGCTGAAAAGCTGATGGTCCATTGGCACATTTGATGACTTACTCTCTGTTCCACTGTTTTGGGGCCTAGGGCAATTCATATTTAGGGTGGACTAAATATAGACAATCCACGGGTTTTCGAACAGGTGCACTTTGGGCCTTTGGGCCAGTCACTGAAAGTTGGTCCTTGCCAAGGCCCGCCTCGCCGTGATGGTACCCCTGTCTCCCCGCTTGGTTTGGAAGGGACATTAAGAGGAACACGGTTCGGCATGTTGAAAGGTCCGATTCAAAAAAAAACATACCCTAAGTGAGTTTCCTGGTTTTGGTGGAGGAGATGCAGGGACCGCCGTATTTTGAATCAGTACAAGGGGACCATACTGTGGGTGGACGAAATCCTGCAGCACTTTGAAACCATAGCAAACCATTGCTTGTCGGTATTTACAGGGGAAGCATCACCCCAGGGATTTTTAGGAGGTGCAGGATTTCGTCCATCCACAGTATGTATATTCGGGATAGTACTTACACATGGGCTCTTAGATGGATTGTAGATAACAAGGCTCTTTCAAGAGGACGATTGTCACAGTTGGCCAGGTATCATTCTGGACATCGACGGCACTCTCATTGACACGGCTTCCCATTCCCCCCTCCAGCCTGCTTACTCTCAGGACGGCCTTGCTTTCTTTCTTGACAGTAGGAATGGAACTTAAACCCTTATTTGGGTCTCCTCCAAAGCACCGCAGATGTGAGCCAAGTTATGATCACGTTCGCCATCAAGGTCCACGCAACCAGCGGTAGAAGTGGGAAGCACATCCTGGCTGGTGACGAGCCAGCCTTGTTATTTGGAAAGGCAGAGTGGGGATGAGCCCGGTCCCGAACTTTCTGGAGTGAACGGCGATCCGAATATATCATGATAGCGTCATTTGCTGCCCAAACAGCTGTGACCAGAAGAAAGGGCCTCCCTCATTCAAAGGGGTGTCCAGTTTTGTGTGACGTGTGGAAAACGGGTGCTTTGCGACCCGATGGATCACTAGGATTCGCTCGAGGCAAGGGAGAGGTTGGGGGCTCACTGCAGCTCGAAGATTAACACACTGATGGTCATTGGGTATGTGATAGCTTGTGGTGCACTCCTAAAACCGTGACTGCAACCAGTTCTTGCGTCGTTCCAGCCCGACCTTTGGACCTTTAGGGGCAGTTTAATTGGTCAGGGGACCCCAATTTGCCTTAACTCACAGATTTCTGCGTGGCCAAGAGCTTCTGCGCGTAGCATCCTAAAACAAAATGAATCAGTTGTTTCAGGCCACCCTCTGGTGGTTTGGATCGGTTTGGATTCGGAGTTGATTTCCTTTGGTTTTTGAGGCTACATGGGAAACCACTAACCAAGCCACCGGGCTCTAAGCCGCCAACTGGAAGGAAGCTGATTTGGGGTTGCCCATCATTTTTTCCCCACCAACAAGTTGTCACTTTTCGTGTCCCGGTGATCAGTCGAAGGGTCGATGGCTAATGGGAAGGAAGCTGATGGTTAGAACCCAGTGAAGGCCAGTTGGTTTTGTTGGTCGCGCTGCCAAAAGATGCCAAAAGGCTATCCTTGTGCATTTTAGTTGCGGCAAGAAACGGATGGAACTTCATGGGATCCTGCTGCCCCTGTTTTTGTTGGGCCATTCTGTGCACGCGGGCGTAGAAACCGTTTTACGTTTCAATCACCAAGGCCGTAGGTTGCTGGGCACTGGATGTTGGACCCTTTTTCACCCTCAAGATCTTCAGAGAAGTAGCTGGCATCGTCACAGACTCAAAAGTGGCACCCCATGGCAAGCCTTCTGATTTCACAAACAAGTAACACAAAAGGCGAGCAGGTACCCTCCCACCAATCAACATGGAACCTGACAGGGGGGGTCCTGGTTTGGACCATTTTCTTGTAAGGGGACCTTTCCCTGTCAGGTCCCATGCCAATGGGAGGGTAGGTACAACGAGCTCACCACGGGTTCTTGAAGACGACCCGTAGGAGGCGTTGGCCATCTATGGCCGGCCTCACCTTCAGACCTTCTTGGACTTTTGCTTCGAGAGCCGCCCGGCCTTTCGGAGTTTCTGGGCGGAGCGGAGCGCGGCCCCGAGCTGCGAAAGCTGATCCACTTTGCTCTCTGACTTCCTGAGGCCCTCAGTCACGTTTTGGGGAGGCCATTTGAGTGGCGACCAAAAAGTTGGCCGATCCACTCAGTAAGTGAGTGCTGAAGGGACCTTGGGAGCATCCCAGATTTAAGTGATTGTGGGAGGGAAGAGAAGGGGGAAGAAGGTCTCATTTCAACCACAGAAACCGAGGGACTCACTCATTAGTTGGCTCAAGCCTGTTCGTGACGCCATAAATTTTGACACTGGCGTGTCCGAGCAAGTGTCAAATTATGGCTCTCATGGCGTACTACCTGGGCGTTCTGTCAAACAGGATTTGTGTCAACTATGGGATTTGCACACATCCTTTAATTTCCCTTGGATATACCCCCCGAACGAATTGACAAAACCGCACCCTCAAAACAAAGACACGCCCAATTAGCACACATGAGTTGTTTCTTTAGATTGCGGCCGTTCTGCTGGTTGGTTTCCTATGTTGTTTCCTATCGAAGCCATCCAAGAGGGAGTTTAATTTTGAGAGGGGCACATGCGTTCACTTGAAGGCCTGGAAGTTGTACCTACGGCGTGTAGACGGCAGCGGTTTTTTACGATGTGTTTGCGTACATCAGATGGTTTTGCGACACTTTCCCATGTTGAGGGCTTGGTTGGGGGGCTGGGGGGGGGGGCGGAGGAGGGGGAAAACAATACAGTTTGTTTTTACAGTTTGTTTATCCAGGCTTCGAATGCTCAGTACAGCGTGAGAGTCGATGGCACAACCGGTGTACCCGTTATCTCCCTTACTTGCCAGGCGCAGCTTCAACTCTATGTCGGCTTTCTCACCTTAGCTTCTTTCCTCCATTTTAATTAGTCAAGATTCTCAAGCATGCGTTGCTGGCAACAGGTCAGGATGACTCGACAGGTGCTCCTGCATTCCTTTCGCTGGTATGCCAAGCTCGTCCCGCCCAGGAAGGGAACAGCAAAAGGACTCACGCGTTGATCCCACAAAGGTGATCAGTGGCATCCGTTTGGTAAGGCGAACTTCTATGCTTTGCTTTCCTTGGATAGCCTTGATTTTCCCCTGACGCTGGCTTGGGACATTGGCACCCCTCCGGTTTCTGTTTAAGGGCATGTAGGATGTATGGCTGTGCCACAGCTCAACCAACACTTGGCAATTCCAGAGTTGGATGCTAACTAGGATATTGACCTTAGTTCCCCTTAAAGGAAACAAACACCCAACACAGGATTGTTCAGCTTTCTCAGCCTCCCCCCCGGTCAGAGTAGATGGCATAGTCCCAGTGGCATCGTTTTGTTGGAGGGAGGTTCCCTTGAAAATCAACTAGAAGTGCCATCTACCAAGTAACCCTGATAGCGCCTACTTGAAGGTGGTGCTTAGCAAGCTGGTTAGAACCCACAAAGCCATGGTTATAAGTCTCCGTTCGGTGGCTTACAACCAGGCTTACCTACCACACTCGAGTCCGCGCTGAGACTTCGCCGGGGTGGCGCTGTGGAGCACTTCGGATGAGGAGTGGTGCAAGCTGGTGGTGGACAAGGAGGGCCACACGCAAAGGGGCAGACCAGCAGAACCCGCGCCCCTCGCCAAGGGACATGGTTTGACGCCCTGGGCGCCCTGGACAAAAAGCACACTTTTTGAGACGAAATGTTGGTCACAAGCAGAACGTGCACGCGTATTTTTGGGGGCCACTCCACTGGTTCGGAACCCCGACGGAGACCCTTGGCCCGCGTTACGTCGGCTGGCAGGTCCTCGGCCCAGAGCGCAGCTGGTGCTTCCAGTGGCGGGCTGGGGCGGCTGGGGCGGCTGGGGGTTGGAGGGGGTTCCACTGAACGTACGAAACAGGGGGTCCCAGGCTCGAATCCTGCCGGCTCTTTGCTGGTTTGGGTGTCCTGCTTCCTTTTCCCCTTGAAAGGGGGCCCATCGAAAGCGGAGGCTTCCATGGGGCCGATGAATCCCAAATTGTGCCTTTTTCAGGCTGGACCAGGCGCGGGCAAGACACCTTTCTCATTGGGAAGTGGCCCTTTATACAAGAGAAGACAAGCAGGTAACCCTCTGCTGCTCGTTTAGATTCGTGGTTTGGGGATTTGATCCCGAGGTTCTTGTAGAGGGTTACAAGCCCTCCTTAACCCCGAATCAGTTTGAACCCAGTGAACCCAGTTGGATTTGGAAGTTTTAGGCTCGATGAATAAAGACCAGAATCTAAATATGCCATTCCTTGGGAGGCAAAAGCCTGGGCAGAAAACGAAGGCCCTGGAATTCCCGGCCTGTCCATGAAGGGACTGTTTTTAGGGGTTGTCAGAACAACTTGTTGTTTTTTGTTTTCCTTTTGCTTGAGCATTCAGTGCTGAGTTTTGAGGATGTCGCTCCAGTGAACCCAGCAAAAGGTACCCTTTGCTGAGTGTGGTGGGGGGGGTTCTCCTGGAGGTTCGTTACAATTCCAGGTTCCCTCATGTGGGGAAGGCTTGCCATTGGGCGACCTTACCCCCCCGCCCCCTCTCTAAAGGTGAGGGACAAACTATTGGAACATGTTCATTGCTTCGATAGAAGCCATAGGACAGACATCTGACAAGAGGTGGCCGAAATCGTAACTTGCTGCTCCCCAATGCCATGTGTTTTAACCGCTGCCTGTTGGATCCAAAAGGGGGAAGCCGACACTCAGTCCCTCAAAGTGAACAGTGTAAGGGTGTTCAATGTTTCTTTTGTCGGGGGTTATAACGGTTAAAATGAGGATCGTCTGTTGTGGACGTCGTACTAAAATGGCCCTTAAGTCGACGGTGAAATTCACAGTGTGCCCATTGTCTTCGCCTTGTGAAGGTGCCAGCAACACTGCAGCGAGCATTTGCGCGACAAGGAGGGAGAAGAGATACCGTGCCCCAGATGCAATAATGAAAAACGTGTTGAACAGCTTCTGAGCAACCTGTTGCGATTGCTTGCAGTTTGATGTGTGATGTCTGTATTCTCCCAGGGCTTGTTAGACCCCACTTATTGCCAGGGAGTGGGGAGAGTTAGGGTATAGATGTTTGATCTTCAGCTACCCTCTCAAAGCAGCCATGGAGCCTGAAAGAAGGTTCATGTTCAAGCACTATGGGCTTCCGGCGGGCATCCCTTGCCCATGTTTGTGTTTGGGTAGGCAAGCCAGCCTCCCGGCTTGGCTTGAGACATGTCAGTTTGCTGCTTCAGATTGTTGGCATTGAAAGCTCGTGCTTTCAAGTAGTGCACTTAAGATCGATACATGCAGCGCAGCACATTTGCAGTGCTGGACAGTGTTTTCTTGTTTGTGTGTGGTAGCTTCTGGGCAGACAACAAATTCATTGACTGAATGCTACTGAGGGAGTCAGGTAAGTGTCAAGTAACAATCGTAGGGTCAGCAAGCGTATATAAACTGAGGGCCACCGACCACCTACTTGCTGGCTGACTCCCAGATCAATCTTCGACAATCCAAGGACAACAAACCGGTTTTCAGGTTTGACCAGAGGAGCCCCTTGACTTATTCACACACAGGCAAAACACAAATGGCACCTTGGGCGGCAAGGTCATTGGGAGAGCCACTTTCTGGGCCGCTGGCTTATATAGGGCGCGAGCGCAAAGCCTTCCTTAAGATTCACGTTGAAGTTTGGGTAAGGACACTGGACGCGTCTTTCTTGTTTCCCCAAGTAGGGTCTTTTTTTGAGGGCGCCGTTTTTGTTGGCTTGTTTTCCCAGAGCATCAACTGGAAACGCGCAGTCTGTAGTTGCGCCATTTTTCCACAATCCCTAGTCCTTGTGTCGTTTTTTTGAAGTAAACGGAAAGGGGACAATGGCCGAAGAAATGAACAAATTCTTCACTGACTTCCTTCAATTCGCTCAGGTTGGGCACCTATCCAATTGCTGAAAGCCAGCATTGTTCAAATGCACATTCCGTTTACTTAATGTGCAGGGAAGCTTTTGAAGATTCAATCCGCAGTGCTCGCCAGACCCGCTTCTGTACCTCTTTTGAGCCACAATCAATCAAGGCTAACTCTTTTACTGGAAGAAAGTCAGCCTGCAAGTAAAGGCGTGCGATAGGTGCAGGGAAGCCGTTTAGGGCTGCGCTCGGAGCGCCAATCGACGAGGCTAGTCATAGCCCAAGAGGTTAACCTTTTATGTGTGTGTCCTTTGGGCAACTGAGCTTTGCAAGGGAATCCAAGGAAAGCAATTTCTTACTTCGGCGTGGTGCAAAACAGCCGGCCCAAAGTGTTTGAAGCAAAAGCGAAGAGCCTTGTTGAAGAAGCCAACAGCAACGGCTTACGAACAGACAAAGCATGTAGATATATATATATATATATGCTCACCCCCCCCCCCCAGGGCCTACCTTTCCACTTCAAAATGTACAAAACCCTCTTATTTTTAAAGACAGGGGGTGTGAGCATATATACGCAAGAAGTGTGCTGTTGCTGCATATTTGTTTGTGGGTGACAAGTCATGTTGAGTATCAACAGCAAAGAGTTTATAAACTTTCAAGACAGTTTATAAACCATGTCAAGGGTTTGACGGTTTCCCTGCAACAAGGGCAGGGGGGGGTCAGAACTCTTTACGGGGGGGGGGGGAGGGGGGGGGGTACTGAGAAGTCTTTACACAGTTGGCTGAGTCACCTCACTGCTAAGACTTCCAGCCACCCCCGCCCCCCTCCCCCCTCACTGCTAAGACTTCCAGCTTCCAGCCACCCGCCCCCCCTCCCCCCTCACTGCTAAGACTTCCAGCCACCCCCCCCCCCCCTCCCCCCCAAGACTTCCAACCAACCCCCCCCCCATCCTTCAACGATACCATGAACCTTGACGCGGGAAACTCGTCAAACACTCAATAAGGTTTGTAAACTTTCCTGAAAGTTTATAAACCTTCTGTAGGCTTATTGCGTAGCAAGTGGAGACTGTTGTTTGGGAAAAAAAAGGACACTCATTTGAGGCCTTGTTTGATGTGGTTTGGGCATGTGGTCCTAAAAGGTTGATGATTGTGTGTGGGTGTGTCATCACTGCTGCACTGTTATATCAAAGGCTGTCCATTCGGTCCAAGGGAACCCAATCTGAGCAACTGCTGCAAAACTCTCTGTTTTACAGCATTTTGTTGGATCTCTGATCCCTTGAAATGTCCAATTTGAAACACCTGAAACCTAGAATCTGGAGATCAGAATCCTTGAGATGTCTAATGTTGGATTCTCCAAGCCTCATAATTTGGAGCCTGGAGTACTCCAACACGAATTGAATTGGAATGTTGAAGGGGGCAAAATGTTTTTTGGGAAACGAACAATCTTCGCCCAAGGGAACACAATCTGGGCAATTTCTTCGAAACACTTTGTTTTACAGTTTTTTGTTGGACCTGCAATCCCTTGAAATGTCCATGGTGAAGCACCTGAAACCTAGAATCTGGAGATCAGAATCCTCGAGATGTCTAATGTTGGATTCTCCAAGCCTCATATTTTGGAGCCTGGAGTACTCCAACACGAATTGAATTGGAATGTTGAAGGGGGCAAAATGTTGTTTGGGAAATGAACAATCTTCGGCCCAAGGGAACACAATCTGAGCAATTTCTTCAAAACACTGTGTTTTACAGCATTTTGTTGGACCTGCAATCCCTTGAAATGTCCATGGTGAAGCACCTGAAACCTAGAATCTGGAGATCAGAATCCTCGAGATGTCTAATGTTGGATTCTCCAAGCCTCATAATTTGGAGCCTGGAGTCCTCCAACATATCCAAATACACATTCCTTTCCAAATACGATTTTGCTCCGAATTGAATTTGCATATTGAATAGAATTTAGTAAGCACATAGTTCACCACCATTCATAATTCACCATAATGTCTATATTTGATCAGAATTTGAACAGGAATACCTTTCCAAATAAGGAAAATATTATTTCAGTAGAGTCTAAATATACTTTAATGCAGACAGAATTCAATTAGCTTTTGAACATAAGACATTAATCAAGAATCCATCCCCAAATACGACTTGAATTGGAATAGAGCTTATTCTGGAAAGAAATCACTTGGCCTTTGCAAACAAATTTTAATAGTAACTCATTCCCAAATATGATTTAGCTTAAATGTGGCTAAACAAATAAAGGGCACATATCCCCAGACTCCCAAACTTGGTCTGGAGATGTGTTTGGCATGTGCAGGTCTCAGAGCTTTCATTTTCAGGAGATTTTGTGCTTTTGGGTCTGTGCAGGTTGCAGAGCTCAAAGCTGCCAAAAACATCATTTTTCAATGTTTTTCCCTGGTGTACTCAAAACCACTGTAAAAACCAGTGATTCAATCAAAGCCAGGCTCGAATCTGAAAACGGAATCCGTTTTCGCTTTGCTGCCTTTCAAGCCTCAAAGAATCAGACATCTGCTGTCATATAGAAGGTAAAAAAACAACAAAACACTGTATTTTACAGTGTTTCAGGCATCTGCAAGAAAGAGGCACACAGAGTAGAGTTGACACCTTCAACTAGAAGAGGGCAAAGGTAGGCCCTGGGGGGGGGGGGTGACCATATATATATATACAGTGTGTGTGTGTATCCTATCGAGATACACATGCCAATGCGGCGAGAGAGAGAGAGAGAGAGAGAGAGAGAGAGAGAGAGCGAGAGAGAGAGAGAGAGAGAGAGAGAGAGAGAGAGAGAGAGAGAGAGAGAGAGAGAGGGCGGGAGAGAGACAAGCGAAAGAGCAAACGAGAGAGTAGAGACAGACAAAAGCACTTGCAAGTACTGTACTGTTTCTGGTGCGTTTCCTTTCGGAAACAGATCCGGTTGCCGAGTTTTCCGCGCTCTCCGAGGGTCTGCAAGAAGCTGCGGAAGGTTTGGAAGTCCAGCACCAGGCAGGTCGATCTGACCTTTGGGTGTCCCATGTTGGTCTACTTTTAGCAAACTAGGTCCCCCAATAATGCCCTGTCTCACCCCTTTTTTAGGGGAGGGTTCTTTCCCCCCAAAAAAGATAGACTACAGAAGAAGGAAAAAAACGGGTACCCTTCTTCCAACCTCCCTACTGGAAGACCTACTAAAGGTCCCCAAAGGTGATCATCTTTGACTTCCAGCTCCATTCGCCAAGCGAGTTTTTACAGGTTCCGGGCACCTCGGACCCACACCAAATTTAGGGTGGGGATTCATGCCCACTGACCACTTGTTGAAGGGGGGTTGGTCGAAATCATAGCCTGTGTGTACGTATGTGTGGTTTTGCGTTCCCTCATTTAAACGTGGCATACAGCCACACGTGGCTTTGAGCCTCAGGAAGGGGAGCCATTGCAGAGTGACTAGCAGTGTGTATTCGGAACCTTGATGAAGGTCCTTCGTAGGGAACATCCTGGTTTCTGCAGCTTCAGAATCCAATCGCGGGAGGGGGGGTTCGTCCCTGGGCATGGTTCCAGCTTTTGCGGGGAAGACTTGGAACATGCAATTGGGAATTCACCCCTTTGCTGCCCCAGCTCAGTAGCAAATGGAATGGAAGGGCGCAGGGTATGTGGGCCAGGGAGGGATGCATTTGCCGGGGTCGTGTGTTTCCCTGAGAAGCCCTTGAAGAAGGCTTAAGTGTACATTTCTGCCTTGGAGTTTGATCGAGAGCTCGTGGGGGGAAAGCTTGGAATGTGGTGTTTCTAAACGTTTGCCTGAGGCGATGTTTCAGGCATTCGTGTTCAAGGGGCGTGTCAACACGGATCAAAGAAGCCAGCTTTCTTGTTTCGAGCAGACCCAGCATTGCAAGTTGGAGTTGCTTCTAGTCTGAAGCAGATGGGCATCCCGTTTTTCTTTTTTCAAGGGTTATGCCTCCTTTGCTTTGTAGTTTGGGCGTGTTACTATAAAATCCTAGATTAGAATGGGATTGTGGCATTGTTTAGTGATTATTCGGCCCCTGATACTCCGCCCCCTTCCCCCTTACTGCGGGAGCTGGTGGGGAAACAGTAAGGCGAGCTTGCGGCTTTCACCGAAAGGGCTGCGTCATTATCGAGGACGCTCGCCGGGATTTGGGGATGGTGTTTCCTGTGGCAACTTCAGATGAGTTCGGACCATACATATGTCTGTATATATATATATACATATACACATGCATTTATTATTATTTTTCTGGGCAGCTCCCCTATATTGGGGAACTCATTCATTGTGACGGAGTTCCTTTCATCCGAAGTTGATGCTTCTTCTCTTAGTTTCGCTCCCCCTAGAACCAACCAAAAGTATTAAACTTGTTGGGTTGTTTTTTTGCAGAGAGCCCTTTACAAGCGGGTTGTCTGGTTAGGACCCAAAACGATTTGGATCTCTACAAAGGGTGTGCATCAGTGTCCATCCTCCCAGGGCAATCCGCGTCGTTTTGTTTTGCCTCAATAAAACCCGGGTAGTTGCAAGGTAGGAGAGGGTTCCAATCACGACTCTTTGGTTTTATCCAAACGTGGTTGTCGCTGGATCCGAAAAAGGTCCTTAGATTGTGTGGACACCCAGGGTCCAACCCACTAAGACGAAGCACCTCTGGGATGGAGCGCCCAAAGAAAAGCCTGAAGAATCGCCTACCATTTGCATTTTCTCTAGTGGCAAGCGCCCGTGTCAAGGCATTGCTTTTTAAACTCATGTTCAATCCAGGGGCCATCCTTTCGGGACAACGGCGCCCCTGAAATTGAACACGAAGTCAAACAAGACCAAGGCTCCTACAATCGCTGGCTTCCCTTTGTCCCCCCTTTACATACCAAGAATGGGTCCACCGCTTTGAGAAACTCCCGCGTGAGGGTAGTGTCCACCTGGGATTAGTAAACGGGGGTCCCCCGCCCCCCCCCCCCCAACGATGGGGGCACCTGGAATAGTATCTTGAGATCCAGTTCAAGTGAGTTTCCATTTGATTTAGTATTGGTACACTTGAGTTTCCATTTGATTTAGTATTGCTGGGGCTTTCTTTTGGGATTCGGAACTGAGTTTCCATTTGATTTGGAAATGCTGGAGCTTCCTTTTGAGATTTGGAACTGAGTTTCCATTTGATTTAGTATGGGTAGACTTGAGTTTCCATTTGATTTAGTATTGCTGGAGCTTTCTTTTGAGATTTGGAACTGGGTTTCCATTTGATTTAGTATTGCTGGAGCTTCTTTTGAGATTTGGAACTGAGTCCCCATTTGATTTGGTATTGCTGGGGCTTCCTTTTGAAATTTGGAACTGAGTTCGTATTTGATTTAGTATTGGTAGACTTGAGTTTCCATTTGATTTAGTATTGCTGGAGCTTCCTTTTGTGTTTCTTGGGGGGGGCCAGGCAACAAGACTTTACTTCGGGGGCCCCTGAAATAATGTCAAGTTGGGGGCTGAAGTACTACCCCCTTTGTGGGTTTGATTGTGGGCAGGTTTTCAACAAGAGACATGTAAGAAACCATGGGTTTTGCAAAGCTGACAGTTTGGGATTTAAGGAACAAGGTACCAAAGATCCAAGGACCAGGTGTTGGCTTGGCTATCTCTCCTCTCCTTTCTCTCTTTATTTTCCTTTTTTTTGGGGTGGGATTTGTTTTGGCGCGGGTGGCGGGTGCTTGTCTTTATTCCAGGTGCATTTACTAATCTTCTTGGGCCCCCCATTTGTCTTCATTCCGCGTGCATTCATTAATCCTATGTGGACATTACAGGTACCAATTCGTGGATACAAGGTGTTGATACCTTTCACCGGGTTTGTTCGCCTCGGATGCAGGGTCCACCCGCTTGACCTTCGAAAATCAGTTTCAAAACGTGGAGCTGGCTCTCATACTCAGACTGGTTACTGCCAGTTTACCCTCGCAATCATGACTGAGATCAGTCTCAAAGTGCCCCAAAACCCAATTCTAATGATTTGAGCTCCCACATCGGCTGGCACACCTCCCATTTTGGTTTAGCCGTCCCCTTCACTTCACAGCGTAAAGGGACTGTTCTATGTGAAGTGTAATGTAGTTGAACCGCATGCTATGTAATGACCCTGATTTTCCCGAACAGAAATCACACGACGATAGATTCGTTCTGCCCAGTCCCCCCCTCCGTGTCACACACACACAGAACTTGTAAAGAGTGTGTTCCCGACAGCTATGGGGTCAGGCTTTCCGGATGAATTGACGGATGCTGCGGATACTCTGGCATCTTCTTGCGGACCCCCCTTAAACATGAGCAAATCCAAAATTACAAACAGCACGCACCAGCACACCTCAACCACTGCTTTTTGGTCAGCCCTGGGGGTTTTGAAAATTGTAAGTTGAATCGGGGCAAATGGACTCGGGGACCTATCGCCGCTCTCAAACTAAGGTGGGAGTTTTTTTTGCAAAGCGGGCTGTTTCGCGCGTCGAGTCTGAGGGCAGCTATCGCAACTGTTACTTCAACAGGGGCAACGCGGTGATTGTGCCACAGGGCCCAGCTGGGGAGGTCTTGGCTGGGTGGGTATGTGCCATGTATTTTCAAGACCTCAAATGGATTTCGGCCTTTGTTCGGCCCAACGACACATGTTGCTTGATCCGGCCTGGCTTCAACAGCCAAAAGCCTCTGAAAGGTGCATCTTGCGTGGCGCAAGTGTTTGCGCGGCAGCATGTGGAGTCAGAGCTTGGGGGGGGGGGGGAGGAAGCCTTTTTGGAGGCCTCCTGAGACTGCGCACAAAGAGTATAAAAGACTAAGATTTGTTGCGGCGAATGGCTGGACATGCAGGGCGTGTGTGTGTGTGTCATGGATGGACACCTAGAGTCGATTTTGCAACCAAGAACCATAGCATACCAATATCAAAATCCTAAAAAGGGAAGGAAGTTGCAGAATAGACTCCAAGCGTCCACCATATCTTTAGTGCGCCAAGAGATGTTAGGACTTTAATTGTTTTTCGAATTAAGCACTGAGCACTAAAAGGTAAAAACTTTTAGGGGAGCAGGTTTCGCAACCAAGATATGGGTGTGGCTCAACTTAATGTACCAAAATCGCGCCTAAGGCTAAAACCTGCGTTTTGCCCTAGCTCTTAAATCTGGGCCACCACATGGGGGGGACGTGCAAAAAGATGCGAGTCGAGGCCCAGCTTCGACGCCTCCAGCGAGGCTTCCGCGGAAGATGAGGAGCTGCTGAAGCTGATGAGGTACCTCGAAACCGAGGCACGAGGGGGCGACCTGAATAGGGGCGATCAGGCACTTACCCTCCCACTAACTAACATTGGTTTGTGCACAGAACCCTGTAAGACTACTTTCCTCTTGGAAAGGGTCGTAAGTGAGCCTGGTTATAATCCTCCTGGAAAGGGCCTTTTTGCACTTCCATGTTAGTTGGTGGGAGGGTAGCAAGTGAGCCTGGTCATACCCCACTTCCCATGGTTACAAGTATCCTAAGTGGCTTATAACCAGGCTTACTAACCACTTTTCTTTAGCCCTGCCCCTTTGAAACCTCACCAAAGCCCAAAGCCGAGCTTTGGACCTGTTGGTTTCTGTTTGGTCCATGTCTCGAGGTCCCAAAAGGCTAGCTTCAATTCCAAGGTCCCAAAAGGGCAACTGCATGTCCATTCTTGGAGGTTGCAAGTCTCGGAAACGGATTGAAACTGATTGAAGCACCGGGAATCGGAGATGGAAACCCATTGAAACTGCTTCTTGTTTTCAGGCGAACCCCCAAATTGGTGGTTTCCTTTTGGTTTCCCTTCAGAACCACCCTCAAAATGAAACCACCAGTATGGGTCAAATGAAACCACGAGGAATCGGACCGCTGGTGTTTGTCCAGTTGCCAGCCCCAGTTACCAGGCAACCCATTTTGGGTACCCATTTTTGACCCACAGCCAGGTCCACAAGCATGAACATTTGCAGGGTAGTGCTCTTTCATTTAGTCCTTGCCCCAACCCTCCGGGGATTTGGAAGGCGCACGGGTCAACCTGTTGGTTTCCCCTTGTTGGTCCACAAGTCAGGGCTCCAAACGGTCAACCTTTCATTTTCGGGCCCTTTGAGCAAGTAAGCGAAAGGTTGATTCCCAGCGCTTGGTTTAAAAGGAAGGGTCACTTTTACAGCCTGAGAGGATTTTGCCGGTTTTGCCACTTGTTAATCCCGGTTTGAGCAAATCGGCATACCTCCTGAACATGCAGCCTCTTTTCTGCGGTGTTCAGCCACGGAAGGAAATGAGTAAGGTCTCAGTTCAAGAGATGCCTCGAGCGGGGTCTTGAAATTCCTGAAGCGTTTCGCATGTTAACCCCTTCCTGGAGGTTCCAAGGATTAAAGTCAGGAGCATTTTTCAGCCTCTTACATGGCACCCCCTTCCTTACCAGGTGATGCATTGTTTTTTTGATGGGAAGAGTTCTGTTTTTCTACCGCCTACATGTGGCCAAACACCTGTGTGAGAAACACACAGATCAGACGAAACATATGAGACAAAGGCCGTCCAATGTTTCCTGTCCTGGCTTTCCTCTAGACACCAGCCAAAGAAAGGGTTCACCGTGTAGATACTACAAATATATATATATATATGGCAGTGATTTTTTTGAGGGGTCTGTAACAGAGCCGCGGCGGACATTCGTTACAGACCTCGTTACAGACCTCTGTAACAAAACCAGCTGGCTCGTTACACACCCCTCGTTACACACCCTCGTTACACACCCTCATTACACGCCCTCGTTACACACCTCAGATGAGCAAACCGGGCCAGTGACGTGACTGCCCTCCTTTTGCCGCAGCTTGGCTTGCGTTGAATAGCTGCAATCAAGTGCTTTGCTTTGCCTTGTTACAGACCTCGTTTCATAGCCGTTGCATACCTCGTTACAGACCCAACCCCAGCCCGGGCCAGCGACCGCTTTTTGCCGCAGCTTGGCTTGCGTTGAATAGAGCTGCGGAGGCGTGCTTTGCGTGCTGCGCTTTGCTTTGCCTCGTTACAGACCTCGTTACATAGCCGTTACATACCTCGTTACAGACCCAGCCCCAGCTTTTTGCCGCAGCTTGGCTTGCGTTGAGTAGCTGCAGGCAAGCTGGTGCTGCGGAGGCGCGCTTTGCGTACTGCGCTTCGCTTTGCCTCGTTACAGACCTCGTTACATAGCCGTTACATACCTCGTTGCAGACCCAACCCCCAGCCCGGGCCAGCGACCCCGCTTTTTGCCGCAGCTTGGCTTGCGTTGAGTAGCTGCAATCAAGCTGGAGCTGCGGAGGCGCGCTTTGCGTCCTGCGCTTTGCTTGGCCTCGTTACAGACCTCGTTACATAGCCATTACATACCTCGTTGTGCTGCGCTACATCGTGCTACTGATACTTCTTGTCAGGAAATGTTTGTCCCGTTACAGACCTGCGTAACAAGGACCTCCGTTACAGACCTCCGTATAACAAGATTCGTGGCGCGTCGCGCGTTACAGACCCCTAAAAAAATTCATAGCCATATATATAGATAGGCATGGAATTGCCACTCTGAAGGTAGTACAAGGGATGATGGTGGCCCCCATGCCAGGCGGCTGTGTGTTGTCCGACCGAATGTGCCAGGGCAACAGATGTGATGATGCTTTAGACGCTGCGTTTTGACGGTTGCCGGTTGGTTTCGCAGGACCTCACAGTTGTTCTTCTCGCCAGGTGTTGCCCTTGGAAGACGTGCGCAGCCACACTTGCCCTCGCTGATGTCAGAAAAGTGAGCACCTGCTCCGGCCTGCCGGAACACACCCTTCAGCGCCATCGTGCCAGGGTCACTCACTCACTCACTTCCTGAGTCCTTGGACTTTATTTGAACTTTTTGGGAAGACCCTTTTGGCGGAAACACAAAGTCTGGGCTTTTTTGGCCAATCCGCTCAGGAAGTGAGGTGCAACATCCTTTGAGCTTCGGATCCGGGACATCAACTTGTCTTTTTGGGCATTGCATCAAGGGTTCCTACGAAAAGCTTGGCCATGGCCCAAAGAAGAAGGATGACCTGGCGCATAAGGCAAACGACGGCACGAAAGTTGGCTGACCTTAAGATCTTTGGTTTGCCTCACCATTTCTTCTTTCTTTGGGCTGTATTTCCCGTTGATTGGAGAACCCCTGAGTCCTGATTTGATGGTGTGGGGGTAGTGGAAAGGTCACCTTTGTTAATGCTAGGGTTGTTGGGGGATAGTGAGGAACCCACTCGATGAGCAGAAAGAGCACTCGCCTGTATCGGTGCAATTTACAGGAAGCACCTACGCAAGTGGACGCTTATGTGCTCTGAACGGGGCACTGGTTGTCCTCTTGAATTCCTGGTAATATACGGCCGGACGGCTCCTGGCTGGTGTTCAAACGCATCAACTTCCGAGGGTCGGGCAAACACGCTGAACTTCTCGTTGCGATTTTGGCTCAGGACACGCCACAGGGCCCCACTCCAGTCACCGCACGCCCAGATGTTGGGTGCCACCTTTTAGTCTTTTTCTGTTTGGTGGCTTCTGGTGGGTTCTCTATCGGAATTTGTTGACTCCCACAAGGCTTCTGTTTTGTCTAACAGGTTCACTAGGCAACAGGCAAGCGTTCTTCCCGCTTTACTCTTGAGCGGGCGTCAGCAGCAGGAGGCAGACTGACAACCGAGACACGAAAGCAAAATACGGCATATAATAAGCGTTTATTCTTCATTTCAATACTGATCCACAGTTTCCTTGGATGGTGGTTTGACCAGATAGGCACTATTCGGAATAGTACAGCTTAGCATGAAATCCAATAATTCATCATTTGTAGAGGAAGCTTCATTTGGGACATTGCTTGAGCGGTTCAATGTTGAGTCGTAGTCGTTACACATCTTTGTCATAGGCTGAAGCGACCAAGAGGGGCAAATGGATATATTGTTTTCAGCAGTCGAGGCGCAGCCAAGAATTCGGTGCACAAAACATATCCCCGTGCCACTCGCGGTCGCAGGGATACCGCGATGTAGCTGAGGTTCGTCCTTCCATGTTTCAGTTCGTGGATGTTAGGGCAAGTTAGTAAGTGGTTTGCCACTTGGTTTCTAACCCACCAATTGCAGGCTTAACCCCACGCAGGGGAACACATAAGTGGGTGATGAGCTCTCACTCCCTGTGTTCTTGGACTTTGTACTTGTTAGAAAGGCCATTTTAGTGGTAAACAACAAGTGTGTTTTCTTTCTTTTTTTGCCAGACCTAGGCTACCAATAACTTACTTGACCGAACACCCACATAGTGACGAGTGATGGCTTCGCTCACGCCGATGCTTGGAACTCGACAGGAGGGACTTGGTCAAATCGGTCGCAGATGCTTGGATAGGGTCCTGCAGATGAACAGGGAACCCGGGATTCCAAAGCACGTTATTCTCGGGAATGAAGCCCCAAGTTCCCAAATGCGTGCTTTTTCTAGGGGACACATCTCCCTTTAAGACTTTCTTTCGGGTCCCGTAGAATTGCAGGGGAGTTTACTGATTCGAACAACCCTGAATTCTAGTGCCAGATGATGATGGTTTCTAGTTGCAAGCTTCGTTTTAAGGTGTAGGGGTAGGGTAAACAGGGGTCGAGGGGTCTACATCCGTTGCGGCTATATCAATCCCAAGGGACCGTTGGAAGCGATCGCAGTCAGAACCAAATTCGTGATACATGAATAGCATGCCAACATAGACTTTGGGTCGGTGTCAAAACAGAGGGGGCCAACACAGGTCCGGGTTTCCTTTGGGCTTCCCTGTAAGCCAAGCCATCCGAATGGTATCCTCAAGAAACAGATCCATATACTTTGGGACATCCTTGTATACATATGTATATATAGGGAAATGCCAGCGGCTTCATCCCTGCATCCTTGGGTTCCATTTATCGAACATAGTCTCAACCGCCTGGAACTCCCTTAAGAAAGTCACCAAGGTGGCACTTGATTTGGGTCCTTAGATCAAAGCTAAACACTCTCCACCAGCCCACGACCAGGTATGGCAACCGGGTTCAGAAACCCCACGCAACACAGTTGAACAGAACAAGTGGAGAGAATGAGAGACATGCGGAGCCACCCCTGCAGAAGTGGTAACTTCTGCTGTTTGGCAGGACTACGTCAGGCTTTCAGATGGCAAGCTTTCAGAAAGCGCGCCCGGCCGTGCGACCTGGCAAGGAAACCGTTTGAAGGGTAAAACGAGCTCACCATAATTTGGCATATGTTGGCCCTCCTTTATTTGAGGATCCAATTCCTAGTTTGTTGTAAAATGATACTTTTCATAATTTCCAACCACTTTTGGCTTTCCAGGTTTGGTGTGGACTCCGTTCAAGTTACCTCAAGTTGCTACTTGCGACAAGCTCACTTCTCGAAACCTGTCAACTTTTTTTTCACAGACATCGGTAAGTTTCATTCTGCCCTGGGTCCTGGCAAGAACGCGTAGGCAAGTTAGTTTTGTTGCACCTTGCACCAGCACCCCTTGGCAAATGGGCTCAGCCGAGAGCAGGGATGCTCCGAGCCGTTCCGGAAAGGACGGTGAAGCCATGTCAAGCCCCAAAGATCGAACATTGGTCAAGGGGTTCCTTTGGTTTCCTTTCAGGGCACCCTTGTGCTGGAATCCTTTTGCATTTTTCAGAATCTTTGAATCAGTGAGAGGCCTAAGCTTCCGATCGATTTTGGAGTGAGATAACATTTAGGTGCGTCAACACTTGGAATCGGGGCATAGTGTTTGGATTTCTGCGTCGTGTCCTTGCTTAGTTGCAAGGGTGACGGTCTCAAGCTGATTTTGATGCTCCCCTTTGCTTGAGAGCATTTTGCATTTTCCCTTGTGCGTTTTGTTTGCGTCGGCGACAGCCTGCACCGCAACGCATCGATGTGCCGATGGCTTGTCGGAGCCTACTCCCTGAGATTCGGTCTGGAACTGGGGCAGAATCCGACTGGGTTTCCTGTTGTCGCTTCTCAGAAGAGCTCAGAAGAGCATTTGCCCCTGGAATCGATGGAGGGCCGAATGTTTATTGATTAGCGAACTCAAGGGAGTCGAACTCGCGGTTGAAAGTTTTGTTCACCCAGTTGGATTTGAAGGAGACGGGTAGTTCAAGGCATTGGTCATGCACTCCGGAGTGGCTTTTCCAGCTCTGTCGTTTTGACTCCTGGTAATGGCTGGTGAAACATTTGCAGGAGGATGTTGGTTTGCCAACCTTTCTGTGGACCTCACCTTAAGCCTTCACTGTGCTGTATGTTGTGTTTTTCGGAGTGTCGTATTTGCCACGTGCTCTGGCAGAAGAGTTGCAAAGATTCCGGTCAAGCAGCTTTGCCTCGAAACTTGTGTCGCAGCCCAGGACATTCGCAAGCTTCTTGGCTGAATCACCCGCGCTCGGTGGCGTGTATGCGTTTCCGTCATGCAGCCCCCGCAACTTTGAACGGCCGCTTTCACCTTGGGCGGCTTACATGAAACGGTCCAATCTAATGTTGACCCCAGATTAATCAACCCCAGTTTATTATTTTCGGGGTGTTCCCCTCCAAAAGTTATGACTCCCGACTCAACCCAGGGACACCCCCTACCAATAAACAGGGGTTTATTGCTCGGGTCCAATCTATGTTTTGCTCTACGGGCATCCCGTCCCCCCGCCCCCCCCCCCCCCGCAGGTGCCAATTGCTGATTCCAAGCTTTTCGACCGTTTTGGGTCATGATCCGAGGCTGTTGCCAATCCTGGCCCCTCGGTCGCGCCGGGCACTGCAGTCATGACGGGCCTTTAGGCGGAAAAAGCGGCGTTCACAGAGGCTCCTAAGCAGCCTTGGCTTATATGCATTTTACATCTTACCAGCGGGCCAGATCCTAGCTGTCATTGGCAGGGCTGCACATTCGACATGTACCAAACCATTAGTTGGAGGTTTGAAGCTTATACATGTTTATTCATACAGCTCATTTAGGGGCACAGACTGCCTTGCACACTTGCTTTTGTTGCATATCAGCTGTGCAACCCTTGTTTTTTTTTTTGCTTGACCGCTGAGGATTGGCTACCTGCCTACCACTGGAGAGAGAACTTCTTCAAGGACCGGGCGCTCTCTACTTTGAGCATATTCTTCAAACGCCCGACTTGGGCCCAGCAAGTCCCGCAGGCGGATCTGACATGAAGGTTTGGCTTCCCCAGGGCCATAAACCCGGTGGATATCTGATGAGTCCGACTTTCTTGGGCCAAGTTTGGCCCCTTTGAGACTTCCAGCTTGGCTGTGTGATTTGCATTGTTTTGGCCGAAAAATGCAGGAGCCAGGCAACTCCAGAATGAATAAAGCAGGCTCATTTGTTTGATGATAGAGTCACAGATGCGCTCTACGCTATCCCTCTTTTTTCCCCACTCAGACTTGTGAATTTGCGAGCCGTACTGTCGATGTCTAGGTTTGGGTGAATTGTTCATTTTTCACAGCTGTGTTCCTTTCAATTGAGTTTGTTGGCGCATACACGGCTCTGGCCTCAGTTTGGTTCTTTACAATTCCTGTGTCATCCATGTTGCAAAATGACACCTAGCGAAACGCCCCTGGGGTTTCAAATGGAAGACCTAGACCGACACCCAGAAGGGGTTCGGGGGTCGTCGAATCTCAAAGCCTTCTGTGAGCCCCAAATGAATCGGGAGCGGGTGAGTAGGACTAAAGGGCTTCATTCACTGAGTTAGGGCTGACTTAAAACTTTCAGGGCTGACTTATTGTTTTTTAGAAAAGACCATTTCAGTGGTAAACAGAAAGTCTGGACTTTTTTTGGGTGGTCCACTAAGGAAGCGAGAGGTTGTTGACCTTCCATTGCAGTTTTCAGGGGACGAACCCCCCTCACACACCTGATTGGCCGAGAGATGTGCCAACGCGGTGGGTCTCATCCAAATCAGGGAACAATCACGCAAAGTTAGGAGTCTTCGAGTTTTGCGAAGATCTCAGTGAAAAGTCCCAGTTTCCAAACTCCCGGCTTTTGACCATCAACTCCAAATGCTACCCCCTCAAACTTTTAGACTAGGCCCCCCAGTAGTGCCCTTTTACCCCTTTTTTGGAGGGGAGGGTTCCCCTATATACTCAAATAGACTACCGGAAAAAAAAAGGAAAAAAAAAAAAAGTAGGAACCCTTATTCTAGCCTCTCTACTGGAGGACCTAGATGGGTTCCAGCCTGCGCCAAGGAACATCTGGAAGTCGGCATCCTGGGACCCGTTTCTCCGTTTGGTAGAACCCATGTCTACATGCCAGGCCGCCAGATGGAGGACCCCTAAGTGAGCACTGCATGGATTCCTCATACCGCCGGGTGTCCAGGACTTGGCCGCAGGCCTCACCCTGGGCTCCGTGCTCTTCGCGCAGTCCTTGGCGCATGCGGCGCTTTGTAAGGCGCCGGGGGCGGTGGGTTGTGTGGTTGGCTGCGTGTTTGTAAGGCGTATGGGGTGCTTGTGGTGTTTTTTGTTGGTTGTTGTTCATGTGGTGCTTTTGTTGAGAAAAAACCACCCCGCGCCTTTTCGTTATGTTAGGGCATAAGGGTATAAGAGTTGTCCACGGTGTTCTTTTTTAAACCCGTGTGTTGTTTCTGATGCGCTGTGCTTCTTGTGTGCATGATTGTGGGGGTGTGCTTGTCGTTTTGCTGTTTATGTTTGTTAATTGGTGGTTGTTGTTTGTCGTTGTTTGTGCTTTGACGTTTCACTAGAGAACTGAAAGCTACAGGGGTTCCAACTCCAAGTAGAGAAGGGGGTGGTATGGCTGCACACTTTGCACAAGGTGCTGCTGCGCCACGGTTCGAAGTTGTTTCTTATCTCTTGTTGAGGCTCTGCCATGCATTGCTTTTTCGAGAGTATTGGACCGGAGAGCACTCACTTTGTGTTTGCAAGTGCAACCACTTGTGTCGACAGATATGCGCCGAAAAACAACAAACACATAGACCATTACATATCCAGTGTAGTATGTATATATATATATATGAGTATATGTATATCTATTATTTACATGTATCACTTCATGTATGAATAGATTTTTTTTTTTTTTTATTGTATTACTCTGACGTAGACATCATTTGCATATATGCTGGGCATCGGCTTGTGTTCTTGTTTCTTGCTGGTTGGGTGTCATAAGAAGTTCCTTGTCGTCGCACATAAAGTTCGGTTTGGTTTGCCTCATTGGCTTTGTGCAAGAAACTACGCTACAATAGTTGCAAGTAAATACGTTTCGCTACCTCTCATTGGCTTTGCGCTGGCAGTGCTACTGTGCATGTTGGTGTTCGTTTTTTTTAGTCTTATCTTGCGACGTTGGTGCTGCAATGTGCGACCTCTGAGGTTTGATCATGTGGCACTGGTGTTGTGTCTGACTGATTTCGTGCCATCTCCTGCCAGAAGGTCGACGTCCATTTTGTCTTAACACACGCAACACGCAAAGGGAAACTGCACATTTGTTGGGTCCCGTTTTTGCAGTCCGGCTGGTTTGCTGTTGGAAGCAATCGAGTTCCTGGGCAGATTGCCCTCAACTGGCGATTTGGGAATGACGGCTTGGGGATTTGAACCCAATCGGAAGATAGGAAACCACTTCCAACTTCCATCAATCCAAACCACTTATTTTCGCTCACCCGGGTTGCAAAAACGAGCTCGCCATGAGCGTCCTGCACCTGGGGATTCCTTAAGTCAGGTTTCGGACTCATTGCTTGGACTTTCTACACCAAGTGCAAACCAACCTGGAGCAACCCTACAGCCACCTGCGTTTTGGAAATGCTGCAAAGTGGAGGCCAACTGCAGATCAGTCAACTAGATAGGACACCACTTCCTCCAGATGAGTGTGCCACTGTCCTTGGGGCCAAGCGAGCGAAAACTATGAGGGTCCTTTACTGGGGATCGAATTCTTATTTCGGGTTTTTGGACATGTGCTAGAACCAACCCAAACCCAACCCTGAACCAGCCAACCCCACAGCAACCCCACTGGGTTTTTGGAAGTACTGTAAACTTTGCATTTGCAGACACCTTAACTGGGTTTGTAGATAGGAAACCTCCAAACCACCAACTCACCTCACCTAACGTTCAGTCTGACCTGTCGGACAGGTGTCCCTCATCACGGGCCCCTACAGCTGTTTGGCGCCACCGCTGCTCTATGCGGTGTTTGGCACCTGCGTGCAGGCGTGGGGTTTGAAACCCTGGCTGTTGCGACATGGCATGCAACTCATGTCAGGCAACCTCTAATTGGTGGATTGGATTCATAGCTTGTGCTAGGGTTTGATTCCTCATTCTTTCCAACCGTCGTATGTCCCCAAACCGGCGCCGTGTTCTCGATCGGGTTTCTTGAGCTTTTTGTTAAGAAAAGGAATGGACATGGAAGGTACCCCTAGATTTCGATTCGATCCAAGTCACTCCAAGTCACAAATCCAAGCAACCAGTTAGGGGAAACTGATGGCATATTGTTGGGTGGCTCGTCGTTTTTGAGAAACCTTGTTTTGTTTTGTTTGTTTTTGCGTTTTGAACGATGTTGAAGGGGACCAAATTGAAGCTGCCCAGTTTGACCCATGTTGGGCACTACTTTGAGGCACAGTTTCGTGTTTTCTGTTTTGCTGTTGCTTCTTGGAAAGCATGCCACGGTTTGCCTTCTGAAAGTGCAACCAGTCTCTCAGTGGCCCCTGAAAGTGCAAAACAGAGGTCCCCGGCAGTTTGCCTTTTGGCACTGTGCTGCTTTTGTGCCTTGTTTGCTACTTTTGTACTGTTTGTTATGTTTGTTTGTCAAGTTTCTCGTGCCTTGTTGTGTTTGTTTTGTGAAAGCCACCAGTAAGCGAGATTCGACGTTGAACCTCGTGGGTTGGACCTTGAAGGATTTGCGTCGACATCAGATTGGACCCCAAAAGGCCTTGTGTTTGCTGTGTTTGTTTGCCTGCTGCCTGCTTGCTTTCTTGATTGCTTGCTTGCTTGCTTGCTTGCTTGCTTGTTTGGCTTGCTTGCTTGCTTACTTGCTTGCTTGTTTTCTTGTTTTATAGTTCTTGTGTGTATTTAAAGTTGATTATTTGTGCGTGTGTTTTAAAGGCCCCCTGGTTCAGCGTTTCTCTTTTTGGACCTCAGGCCTCCGTGGGCACTGGGGGCTTGGTATCCCTGCTCACGGGCGAGCAGCTCGCGGGCTTCGGGGACGAGGAGCAGCGGACCCACGCAGGCGGTCGGCGCTTCGCGCCCGAGTTCGTTTTCGAGAAGCCGGGTACCCTGTAAGGGATGCTCCGTGTGTTTTCTTCTTTTTTTTTCTTTTTTTTTGGGGGGGGGGGGGGGGTACCAAGTTTTTTTTCTGGTTGGTGTTGGTGTTGTTTTTCTTCTTCTTTTCTCTGGGGTACCACGCATTTTTGGTTGGTGTTGAAGGAAAGCCAAAAGGAAAACTGCCATGTTGCAGGGCATCCAGTGCATGTCCAGACACGCAGACTTGGTTGTTTTTGGGGCCTCCTCCTTCTTGTCTTTTGGCCATGGTTGTGGAAACCAACTTGACCCTTTTCAGGGACACCAAAGTGGGTACCAGCTAGGTCGCAAGACATGGGCTCTCTCAGGAAGCCAGCTCTCCAACTTGCCTTCCTTCGGGTTCCCAGATCAAAGTAAGTGCCCCTTTTGGGTGGGTGATGACTACAGGAAAGTATAGGGACGCCTGTTGCCTTTGCGAGCGCAAAGTGTCTCTTCGACGCAGCGTTTTGTCTTGTTTTTTGTTTTTTGGTTTGGGGGGGGGGGCCGCTAAGGGCTTATTTCGGCTTATTTGGGGCTCCTTGCCCCCGCCCCCCTTTCCTCCCCCCAGCCTGTATTGCTCCTTGAACTTCCCATGGATCGACATGCCACCGCTCGCTTGAGGCGCGATCTTCACCTTGCTGGTGGGGCTGATGATAGGCAAATGGGCTGGGCATTGCTGGGACCTGCTAGTTTGTTTCTTCTCACCTCGAACCAATTCTTGCCCTTCCTTTGTGGTCTACGTGTTTCGGGATGGTGTTTATTCTTGCCTGTCATTGACGCGCCGAAAAACGGACAAAATCCCGGGTGGACAGCATGTTTGTCTGCTGATTCCTGGTGCCATGGCAATCCATTGGCCAGAAGGGGGCCGTCAGATGTCCTGGGAGTTTTGTGGGGGTTTAAATCGTTATTCAAGCCACCAATTCAAGCCAACCAAGTAGGAGTAATCCGGCTTTTTAAGTGGTCCTGTGAATCAGCTGCTGGCGCGGACGTGTCCTTAGCCTACCAAAGGGTTACTTGAATTTAGCACATCCAGCTGGCTCTTTCTGAGGTCTTTTCGCAGGAGTGTGTCACGGGAGTTTTGAGACCTGAACATGTTTGCTGTTGGGAGACTTTAGCTTTTCGGTTGAAATCAAGTTGGTTTTCAATTTAAACCCAGAACATGTTAAACTTTTCGCAGAGGGGTCAACAGCAACCAAGTGAAAAGGCCTTCCGAAAAAGAGTGGCTGTTCGCCGTTCGCTGTCAATCCAGAAGTGCCATAGTTTTATCCAAAGTGCACCCCTGTCACTGCTTCCGGGGTTTTCCCCCCGGAAAACTGTTTAAAGCAACGCACCTGGGCAACCATGGCTGGTTTTTGGTTTTTGACCTTGGCCCCTGACACCTTTTGCTCAGGGGGAAGAGCAACCCAGCAAATTGTCAAGTGCGGTTTGTGCCCGACGACTCCTGAAGATTCCTTGCCTGGAGTTTGCGTTCTGGTGGTTTCCCTCCAAACCACCATTTATCTGGGTGCTCAATAGCCCATAATTTTAAGTTTCCCCAAATTGGAGACCACAAAGGGAGGGAACATTTTCCAATGTTCCTATTTGACACCCAGAGTCATCTAGAGGATGTCACTATTGTACCATCGTACCACCCTTTTTGTGGTTGTTTTTTTCTTTTTGGGGGGGGGGGGCAAATCTAAAAAGAACAAAAAACGACCCAAGTAGGTTCTTACCACGGCCAGTGGGGGTGACATGGGTTGGTTTTCTTAGCTTAGTGGGGTCAGAAAAGACCCCACGGACCCTCAGCAGCCAGCCCGGAAGGTGCCATGGGCGTGTTTCAGCTGGCCTTCTTGGTGCGGTTTCTCTCCAAGCCAGCGCCTTGATCCAGCGATGCACAAGGCCCCGAGAGGGTTTCTCTCCTTGTTTTTTGTTTTTTTGGTGCCCCCATGGGTTTGCTTAGGCTTCTTCTCATGTTCAGCCCTTGGGAGGTTTCTGAATCCACTCAATCTGGGTTTTGGGCAGGGTTCCACTTTTCCACTACGGGGTACACTTAAAAAACCCAGGGGCGGTTCATTCCTCCCAAACGGAAAGGAACCCCTGGAGTGGAACCCTGCAGCCGTTTGGCTTTCCGCTTGTTACTTCGAGCCTTCTGTCCGAATAAGCCTAGGCCCTAGGCAGTCTAAGAGATGATTTGCGCATCCGACGGATCTTTGAAATGATTTGGTTGGTTTGGCTGGAGTGCTTTGAGGAAACTGAGTTGCATAACTCGAATGCATCCTGTGGTTTCCTTTCGATTTTACGGAGTGTTGTCAGGAATCGGAAAACAAGTTATTTTGCAGATGTACGGCTGTGAATTTTGATAGGGGACATTTTGGTAGACTTCTTTTGAGTGGGGGTTCATGTCCACCATGGTGAACATCATTTCTACCGGGCAAGGGGGGAATTTCCAGTGAGCAGCCTCAGGGAAGAGCACTGGACGTGCTGTGCTTTGAGTCTATTTGGCAGTTTTTTGTGGGCCAGTCCTAGATGCTGTCAGCTCATATCCCAAGTGGCACTTGTTTCATCGTGTGACGCTTGCTCTCCAGAAGCCCATGGCCACTTGGCTTTTGGGACATGTACCAGAGGCCAAAACCGACTTTCAGTCTCTTGAGAATGCGGTTATGCGTTTGCAAGAGATGCCACAGATACACGTGGAACCTGAAGAGAGGGTTTTCAAGGGAACCTGCGCGACACCAGGTATTTTCGGAGGTGCCCATTTTCCTGGGGCTTGCAGGTGGCTTCTCCCCTGGAAACCTACAGGGAACGCAGTTGATTGGGGCCTGACACATCGAAAGTCTCCCCCTGATTTGCATAACTTCTACTCCCTCTAACCCCCCTTCCCTGGCACAAACGCCTCTTCCAAATTGCATGCTGGGACTTGGTTCTGCAATCCCATAAAGAATCAACGTCGCTTTAAAGCTGACCTGAAAAGGGAGCCTTGGTGCCTTACAAAAACAAAAAACAACTCTACCTTCTGGTACTTGGCGCCTTGCCGGCCCCGCAGTGTGAGCATCTCAGTCCAGCGGGCATGGCCGCGTGAATTTGGGAAGCCCTGAGTTTGGGGCTCGTTTTGCCTCGTTTGCCATTCAACCTGGACGAAAACCGATCCCATGCACAAGATGTAGATGTCTAAAAATGGTGTCTCCACAAAAGCCTTGGTTTGGGCTTTTTCCCCTCAGTTCCCCGGCTTGAAACCCACAGAGAAAAACCACCATCCGATCAGGCTTGAGACGTCTCAAAAAAAAAAAAACGCTCAGCTGAGGCGCTGAGCGGCTTCATCACAGCCAGCGCCTTGTTGATCATGCTCTCGCAGGTGAAGCCTGCGCTCGGCATCCCGCGCCTCGATCGGGCGATCCTGAGATCACGAGAATCAGTTCCTGGTCCTTTGGGCAAGTGAGGGGTTTTCATGTTTGGGGTCTGTTTTCAGAGTGTGATATATATATATATATAGATATAAATACATATATATATATATATATGCTGTAGATAGAGTAGACTAAGCTAGGAACAGAGTCAGAAAGTAGTACTTGTTGTTTCTCCCAGATGTGGGCCAAGATTTGGGTATGATTCAACACAGGGATATTTTAGACCAACCAAGAAAGAGGGAACGGCTGGATGTGTTTTTGTCGAGGCTAGATTTGCGGGCCCAATTTTGTCAAGGGCGACTTTTCACCTTTGGCTTGTACGGCAAGTATGCTTTTAAGAAGGGACATTAGCCGGGGTTTCAAGGACGCATCAAGAAATACTTCTTTACATGGGGGAACCTCCAAATCAGCTGATCAAGCCGATTTTCAAGCTGGCCTAAATGCATCCTTGAAGGGATTGCTCCCCGCCCGTCCCCCCGCCCTATGCCTCAGAATGCTTCGATCAGAATGCGTGTAATGCTTGTTCCTTCTGAACCTTTGCTGGGGCTGGCGTTGCTTTTCTTCCAACAAATGCACAGTTTCCTTCAGCCTTGCGCTGCGAGCCAGGAAGTCTGACGTTGGCGGCATCATGACGATTCTTCTGACACATCCCAAAGAAATGGATGACCTGAATCCCGCCACGGTGGTGTTTAGCTGCGGCACCTCGGCCGAGATTTGTCCGATCCAGCCGACAGCTGATGCAGCCTGGGTTGGCCTTGGGGATGTTGTTCTGTCATCCTGAAGGAGCCAAGCTGGACCCTGGTTTTGGCCACAGCCCAAAGAAACTCTCAAGCGAAGAGGCATTCGCATTCACACGGTACGCTGTAAGGGGAATAGAAGTCCTGATGCCAGCTGCAATCGCTTCAGGCCGCGTTTGCCAGCGGCCTTGATGCGAACGACTCGCAATTCAACTGGTTGGATATGGGTAGTTTGCTCGCATAGGGGCTGCAATCTGAAAGGATGCCAGGCCAAAACCGAGTTCGTGGGGAACATGGGCACGGGGGAGACCACAGAAATGGGCTAAGCATGGCCTGGTGCTGCTCCGATGGCCAGGTCTCCTCGAAAAGACTGGATTTTCCATGGTAGCCACGGGCCAGGGCGGGAAGGGATCGGCTTCCCACAAACTTCCGGACGCCTGCGGTCATTAAAGGAAGTCAGCTGGAAGTGCTACTTGAACAAATATTGAAACATCAGGGTTCAGGTTGCAATACGGAGACAGCAGATGGGCTTGGTTTTCTTCTACCCCCTCAACGCCCAAAAAGCTCAAAAGCTGAGACCGCATAGGGCTCCTCCTCCTCATGTTCATAGAAAAGCTTAATGAAGCTTACTATGAAGGCGTAATATTGACACCATGCTGAGGCCGTACTCCTGGGGGAGCCCCCCAGAAGGCCCCGTGTGTACATATATAGCATAATAATTGTCGTAATCATATATGCATATATATATATATACACATGTACATGTAGTTTCATGTAAACGGGCACAAGGCTTGGTAGCCAGGTTCGATTACGCGGCAGGCTGCTTCGCGTTCCTGCAGCTCATGAAGAGCCTGAAATCCCTCAGCCGAGCGCTGAAGATTCTGTCGGAGTTCAAAGAGGCGTGGGAAAGAACGCGTTGGGCACCAACCAGCTGGGGTGTTGTTCAATAGAATTGTTCCCGCTAAAAGGAAACCACCCCTGATGAGGCTGGCCCTCCAGATCAATAAAACGTTGAGACAAATGCATGTTTTTCATCTAGGTGAAAGTAGATGGCACAAGTTCCCCCCAAGAAAATGGTTCTGTCATCCCCTTTATACACAAAGATAATTATGCCATCTACTTTCACCATAGCGTAGGGATGTGGAGCCGAGTTGGTTTGCGGTTTGGAGTCTTGAGCTGGTTCGATTGGATTCCCTAAAGCGGAAAATCAAGGTAACCCTTAGTTTGTGGCTTGGATTTGTGGTTTGGAGGCTTGCGCTGGTTTAAATGGATAACACTTGGAGAGCCAAGCAAAATTCATCCGAAACTCTTGGGAAGCTGAGTGCAGGTCTTGTTGCTGATCATCTCTGCCCTCCTGGCCAGCAGGCCTGAGGAAAATACGCGTGAAAGTGCCACGCAAATGAAATCATCGGCAGTCATGACCAATTGGGTATGGGTCAAAATAAACCAATATTAACCCACCAGGGGACCGCAGGTTGTAGTCATTGTTTCCATTTACCACAGTTCCATTTTGGGTACCTATCTTTGACCCACACCCAGTTTTTTGCCAAAGGTTCGCACAACAGCAGAGAAACAAAAACACAAATCGGTCGGATCAGACTTATAATGAACCTACCTGGAATTGGCACGAACTCGCAGATGTGTGATTTCAAGTTGGTGAATTCAGAGTCCATGGGCATAGGTGTCCTTTTCTGGGCTTGGTCGAACGTAGATGATAGGTTTCAGCTTGCCCGTGACTTACAAACGAATTATGTTCCAAAAGGACGCCTATGGGCTGAAATGTTTCAGCGGGCCTCAATTCCAGAGGAGGGGCCCCAATTTCCAAAGGTTTTCTTGGGGAAACATTCTGGATTGTTCCGTCAACAGTCGCATTCTACTGGTGGCTTCGATTGAAACTGCTTTTTTTGGAGTTTCCAACACGGGAAACAGGAACCCTGTCGTGATTCAGTCAGAGTTCCTGAAAGCATCCAAAAGCCATGGGCAAAAGGCAAGGTTCCAAAAGGCATGTCCCGCTTCAGCACCTGACGCAACTGCATTTGGGGCGACCCTTATGGTGTTGGGTGCATGGATTTTGGACTGACCCCATCATTCTACGACTATCAAAGTCACCCCTGTGATATAGCTTAAAGGGAAACACACCTGGCTGCTGACTTTGACGTTGCCCCAGTAATTAGGATATTTGAGCGCCCCTCATATGAGTTCGCCCAAATGGACAGCCCCCAAAACACACACACCAAATCCTGAAACACATATCTAAGGTTATTTGGATTTGGATAAATATTAAATTTATAACCCCTCCTCCCACTAACATAGCATTTACGGGGGTACCTGGAAGATCAGTTTTTCTTGAAGGGACCTCCTGCCAGGTGCAGAGGCAACGTGGAAGGGAGTGTCGTGTACAGTAAGTCTCTACCCTCCTGTCCACGAACATGGAACCTGACGTTTCGGGGTCCTGGAAGAACCGTTTGGGGAGTCGGTGTATGGGGGTCATTCCAACTCATTCCCTGCAAATCAAACCAGCAAGTAGTCCAAGTTCTACTTAAAGGGGCTTTGTAAATAGTATGTGGTCAGTGAGCCTGCTGAAATAAGCCACTGAAGCCATGGTTATAAGTCTCTTTGCTAAGTACCTTTTCGCCCCTTTAAGTACACCCACCCCATTTGGTTCAGTTCTAGTAGGGGGCTGCACAAAAACAAAGTCCTTTGCTACCTCTACCACTATTGGGTTGGATCTTTAGACTTTAACTTCTTGGATTACCCTCATACTTCCTTTCAACAAGCAAGAAGTTAGACTTTTTGCTGGGGGATCTACAGCACCCAAGCTACCACAAGGGTTTGTGTTTTACCTCATGTGGTTCAGATCTAGTAGCAAGCTGCCTAAAAACACAGTTCTTTGCTACCACAAGGGTTGTGAAGTCTCAGTCCAAAGAAAGGATCGCGGAGCCCTGCGGCATCGCCATCATCGGCTCCGTGCCCAGCGGCTTCCCGGATCTTCGCTGGCCCCTGCAGACCAGCGCCTCGGAGAACTCCAAAGGATTCGACTTGAGGCTGCGCTCATGCATTTGGATGTCTTGTATTCACTTGCAAGTATGTAAGCATGCATGCATGCATGCATATGTATGTGTATATATATATAATATATATATATATGTGTATACACAGCATGCGTGCAAACATATATATATATATATATATATATGGTACCCCCCCCCCCCAGGGACCTACCTTTTTGAAGAATTCACTGGTATTTGCAGTGTGTTCTACCCTTTTTTGGGCTTTGGGGAGAGCAATGAAAAAGAAGCATTTCCAAGGACGTTCTGGAAGCTTCAGGCTTGATTTACACCGATTGAAACCGATTTAATTTAAATCGGACATGGATTCAAGATTCAAGATTCAAGAATCCAGGCCAAACTTTTGCAGGGAATCTTGAATCCAGGGTCCGATTTAAACCGATTTAAACCGATTTAGCTTAAATCGGGCATGGATTCAAGATTCAAGATTCAAGACTCCCTGAAAAATGTTGGCCTGGATTCTTGAATCTTGAATCTTGAATCCATGCCCGATTTAAGTTGAATCGGTTTAAATCGGTTTAAATCGAGGCCTGGATTCAAGATTCCCTGGAAAAGTTTGGCCTGGATTCTTGAATCTTGAATCTTGAATCCATGCCCGATTTAAACTTAAATCGGTTTAAATCGGTTTAAATCGAGACCCAAATTCAACATTGCACTTTGCGCGGCTGTACTTTGGCACAGTGTTGTGCAAGCATCCAAGTCCTGATTATTCATTCAATCTGCTTCAATCTAGGCCCACATTCAAGTTTGTAGGCCAAAGCTTTCTTATGAATTTTGGACCCAGGCTCAACTGAAATTTCAGTTGGTTTTGGGTTTCACTCGGGCCTGGACTCACGTTTGCAAAGAAGACTTGTCTAGAGAATATTGATTCTTGAATGTTGAATACAGGCTTGGGTTCTTTATCCAATCCTGTTAAAGCTCTAATTGAATTGTAAGTACATATTGGGAAAGGAACTCTATTTAAACTCGAAATTTCAGATTTGATTACCATTAGGATTCTGACCAAATATTTCCGTATTGAGTCCCAATTAGCGAGTGTACGTTGGTGGAGATGTGAATTGAGTATGAAAAACACTACACAACGCTGTGTTTTACGGTGATTTCTGACCATGGTAGTGTTAGGGCTAGTGAAAAGACACAAGTTTTGGACCTTTGGATTCTTTGCTTATGAATTCCACTTAGTATGTTTATCACATTCGACTCAATTTCTGTTTGAAATTCAATGGAGCTTAAGAAGGACATACTCCAGCCAGAATTTTGATTTAGATTCGAACTTAAGTATTGATTGTTCTATGTCAAATTAAATGGTACAAACGATTCCTGTCCAATAGAACATTGTACTTGAAATTCAATCACTTTCAGAACTAGAGTTAGATTCTTAGATGGTCTAGTCCTAGTTTGGTCCTACTCCTAGTTGGGAGATCCTTGGTTCTAGGCCTAGTATGGTCTTAGCTTACTGAAATAAATAGAACGTACAAAGGACAATACAAAGGAAGTTCCTTATGAATTGTAGTTAATATATTAATCAAGTTCTATGCAACTGCTATCTGAAGAGTAGAATAACATTACAGAAAATATCCAATCATAATTTATGGTTATTCTGTTTCAAACCAAATATTAAACATGACTTTATTTCCACCAGAATGTAGTACTTGACATCCAAATACTATAAGAAGTAGACTTAAATGGTCTAGTCCTAGTTTGGTCCTAGATGAGAGATCCTTGGTTCTAGTGCTAGGTTGCTCCCTAGTTTACTGCAATAATTAGAAGGTATACAAGACATTACAGAGGGTATACAAGACATTACAGAGGAAGTTATACTTGAAGTCTATTTTTTGTAAGAATCTGAGGTGGTCCCAGTCCCAGTTGAGAGATACTGGGTTCTAGTCTCATTTGGTCCTGGTCCTAGTTGAGAGATCGTTCCTCCCTGTCCTAGATGGGCAAAACATGCACTGGAGAGGCAACCAAAAGGTAGGTCCCTGGGGGGGGGGTAGCATATATATATATATATACACATACACACATATATATATATATATATACACATACATATACATTGATTCAAGCTTTCAGTGATCGGCATTCAACAGCTCAAACACATTCCCCAGGTTGCTGCAAGGAACAACCGCCTGTTGCGGTTGAAGCGTGACAAGCTAAATTGTTCGCCAACGCCTTGGACATCCGAAACTGTTTCCACCATCAATGCCCCCCCCTTTTGAGGCCTAATCCAAACAACAAGTAGTCATTCCCTGTTGGCTTCCTGCTGTGAAAATCCATCCTTGTGGGCTTTGAGCCAAGGCCCACCTTTCAAACCTTTGATTTGGACCCCTTTCCGGAATGTTAAGTTTAGCTGGGGAGCTGTGCATGCCCTGTAGGGGCTAGCACCCACTTTAGTTCTCCTTAGGCCATTGAGTCACTCTCCGGTAATATCCCAAGCATGGGGGGGGGCGGGGAACAAGTGCTGAATGGCAACCCCTTTCTGCCTTCGGATGCCAAGGGCTGAATAAGTCACCGATCGGCTGAAGCGAAATGAGCGAGTGGCTTATGGATGTGTATCCCCTTCACAGGGGTCCCTATAATCCGCTCGTTGTGCCTTTAAACGTTACCTTGGGCCATGAAAGGTGAGTGTTTCTTGGTGGGGCGATATTTCAAGGGGGAAATAGGGAGCCCTGCTTCGACCACCCCTTTGTTGCTTGGCTCGAAGTCAGGCGACGATTTCCAGCTTGCCAGGGAGCTTGCGCCAGGCGCGATTTCGCTCGGGTCCCGGAGCGCGTCGTGTCGTGGATGTTTGTTCCGTAGGCAAATCACTTCTCACAGCTTCCCTTTTGGTCTTTGGAGCACCCGGTGGTTTCGTGGTGTGGAGGCTTCCCAGACCCGAAAAAACGAAGCACCGGTGCACAAACCAGTTGGAGGGACGCTAAATGTCTGGTTCGCTTCCAATCCAGGAGTCCAGGGGTGGATCTGCGCAAAGGATGGTCCGGAATTTGGTGCCGTGGCAGAGCCTGGAGCTTTGAGGCGGTTTTTGTTGCACGAGGTTCACTGGGGCAAAATCTACCATGGCTTCCTGGGGGGACTAAACCAAGGTGACTGCGTGCCAAGCCATATGTTCAATCGAATTGAAGGAAGCCGAAAGGAATCAATCAGTATGTGTTGTTTTCCTGAAGTCCCCCCACAACCAAGACGCCAAGAACCTTGACAGAGGAAACGAAACACAGAGTGCTGTCTGGTGCTAGCTGTGATGCTTGTTCTAGGTTGGGTGTGAGGTGGCATTGTTCACCTTCTCTTGACCTGCGGGGGAATCATGGTTGTAGAGAGTCTTGGTCCAGCGGTACAAAAGGCAAACCCTGCCAAAATGACGGCCGCTTTGCTATCGCACAAAGGCTATTTCCCACAACCACGAATAGGAACGGAATTGAGGAGCTCCTATTATTGAGTTGTCTTTGGGTTGTTGTTGTTGGCTAACGAACAGAAAGCACACACAAATCTCCTACTGTGGATGGACGAAATCCTGCACCGCCTCAGAAACCCTGGAATGATTGGATCTCCCCTGCAAATACCAACAAACAATGGTTTCAACGTTTCAAAGCGGTACGAAATGTATTTCGCAACCATCCACGGGTATGATTAAAGTTGCTGCCTGGGTTGTTGTTATTTCCAAAGGTGAAACACACATCATGGAAAAAGAGCCATACGGCCAATCAGGCTCCCGGGGAGCGCGTCCACCTTAGTCAATGAGAAAGCATGTACCTTCCCCACCGATTAACATGGAATCTGAGGTTTGGGGGTTCCTTTAAAAGGAACATGGTCTTGAAAGAGCCCCCTGTCAGGTTCTATGTTAGTTGGTGGGAGGGTAGCATGTTTTTAGGTGACAAAGGCCAATCCGATTCCTTTGGTTACTTTGGCCAAATCGTTGTCAAGTCTCAAAAAGGCTTTTTGTGTGTTTTCTCTTTTCCCCGTGTAGTTGCACGTGATTGATCATTTTCCTGAACACTTGGAAGATGCCCAACTTTCATGATGAAATGGTGAGGGTCATCATTTGTTTGGGAGGTTGCATTAGGGGCTGCAACCCGTTTGATTTCATCAGTGAATCAGGTTCGATCCCTCGATCTCGGTCTTTGAGATGAACAAGTTGTTTCTTCCAGGGCTCCGCGAAAGATACATTTGGCCGATTTGAAACATGTTTGTTTCTCTAAAATAAAGGGAAACCACCATTTACAAGGCAATGTTCAAGTGTAATTATAATGTAAGGATCCCTGTATTCCTTCCTTACTGATCCCCTTCCCGTTGTTCGGCTTGCTTATTTGCGGAGATAGTGACGAGCCCACCCCGAACCAGCTGCTCTGGCAAAAATGTTTCCAGCTGGGAGATGGCAGGAGCTGCGATGGTAGCTCTGGTGACCTTCTTGTCCTCTTTCGCGGCGGCCAAGAAGTTTGCTTTAAAGGCCCGCAGCTGATTGGTTCCAAGCGAAGTGTTGTGGGAACCCGTTGGGGGAGGGGTTGGTTGATGGTGACCCTTAGGGATTCCGAGGGTTCCTCCAAGTGGAATTGCAGAAGGTACCTTGCAGATCCCCCGGTTGAATTTAGTGAATGACGTGTTGCCGCTGTTTTTTGGGGGGGGCATTCCGAACCGACAAGGTTGCTTGGTTTTCTGAGGGGTGTTTCATTCAAGATCGCCAAAAGGGGGGGGTCTTCCCTATTTTGGGACAGCGCGTCTTGTTCAACCAGTGCATCTCAGAAGCACTCCCTTGGACACTCAGAGGCATGAGTAGAGTGGATACCTCGGATTTGTTGCCTCACTTGACCGAAGCGACGTTTTGACGGCTCTTATAGGAGCTTGTCCCTCAACCATACCTGAGGAGGAGGCGATTTGAACTTCTAGAGAAACATATTCAAGGGATGATTCCCGATGTTCTTCGGCCATCGTTCGTGTCAGAAGCCGCCCATTTCCTCCAGGTGGTGCTCCCATTTTCTGAAAAAAATAATCCCTGAACAGACCGGGACAAGTCGACCCAGACTGATGGGCGAATTTGCTTTCACAGCCATGGACTGAGGGCGGGCGTTCTACTTGCTGGGCGGAGGGAAGTTGGACGGGCTTTAGGAATATGGATCTGCTAAGCCACCAGTTGGATGGTTTAGTTCCGGGTCATACTTCTTCCTTGCCTATCAAACTAGCAAGAGTTTCATGTGCTTGGCCCCTGAGATTCGATTTTTGAGGTTTCTGCTTCAGGTAAAAGGAAAGCCATGATTCTGTCTTTGGGTCGTTTACTTGCGGATCCCGTGGTGTGTGAAGAGCTATTGTTAGGTCTAGGTCTTTTACTTGTGGATCAAATTCTTATTTGTGCTTTTAAGCATGGTTTTACTTCTTCCAGTGGCTCATGGTGTGTGAAGCACTTTATTGCGGATCTGAGTTCGTCCCTTCGTCCCCCGAGGCGGGCTACCAAGTCGTGGCCATCAACGAGCTTTTGGGCTTGGGCGCTGCGAACCTCGCCGGGGCGCTGTGCGGCGGTGTGCCCACGCAGATCGGGCTCAGCCGGATGGGCGCCCCCGAGCAAAGTCTTCGAAAACGGCCAGGGGTTCCGTTCTCGGGTGCTCCGAGCCTAAGTTCGGTTTGTATTTTGGCACGTCTTTTTTGATTTTCAGGGGCTAGCTACAGATCGTTGGGTTCCAAAGACCCTGTGCCGTTTGAGATCGGTGCAAGCCTTGGCTAGTTTGCGTTTGGGCTGGAATGGAGGAATCCGAGCTAAAAGCGGGATGGTTCGACCCTCGAGTGCTTTTCAACTTGGATTTTCCAAACCTTCATCGAAGGTGCCCAGATCAATTTGTTAGACCCATACGGAGACGCCCAAAATGCGAGGTTTCCTTTTCTTTCCTGAGCATGCTTTAGGAGGTGCGCGCCAAACTCAATTCCCGAGTTCCTGGACCAGATTCTTTGTGTGAGAACAATTTGGTGGCAAACATGGAAACACAACTTGTGCTTTTTTGGGAGAAATCCACTGCAGAAGTGAGTCAAAGTCGAAATAAGCGGACCCCGAACATGGGTCCGTTTTACATGCGCTTCGCCCTTTTCGGAACCTGAAAAGTTGAATTGTCCTCCAACCCACACAACAAGACACGCTCATCAAGATACTTGCATGCCAAGGCATCGCTAGCTCCATCGGCGTCGCTAGTCAGCTAGGAGCCCCTGGCAGTGGGGGGGGGGGGGCTACAGTCCCAACACTCCCACCCGAACCCCAAAGCAGCACTCCATGCACGGATCTCGAATGTTCTTGTGCACTGGGAGGAGGTGAAAGTGATCCTCCGAATCTGCTTACACTTGTGACATCCTGAGAGCGAAAGTCGCTCCAAGCATTGGGGGGCGAAAGTCATCCAGCATCCGAGCAGAGCAAATGCAGTTAACATTAAATTACACCAGCATAGACCCCAGATAGCGAAATGCCAACGATTGCATTGTGGCACCTGCACAAGAATCCCCAAATTGCATGCCACCTAGCACCCTGCCGTCCATCTCGCAAAAACACACCTGGCCGTCACCAGCCCCAAAACAGCACCTGCACCAGCCGTCAATCTCGCAAAAATGCCACGCCTGTCACCACCCCCCCAAAACCATCCGCGCCATCACCCCGAACAGCACTCCAAGAGCACACGGCCGTAAATCTCGCAAACATGCACCAGCACCATGACCAGCACCTCAAAGAGCACCCCAAACACCATCCCAATGCAGCACCTTCGCAAACACCCCAGACTGCATGCCTAGCACCCTACCGCCAATCTTGCAAAAGTGCGCCGGCACTGTCACCTGCACACCCCAAAGCAGCACCTGCGCCAGCACCCAAACTGCATACCCTAGCACCCCCAATCCAAATAAAATGCGCCCGCGGCATCACCAACGACTCAAACAGCACCATCACCAGCACCCCAAACTGCATGCCCCCTAGCACCCAGCCGGCAATCTCGCAAATCACTTTCCCTTCTGCATTAGAAGTTAGAACCCCTGTAGCTTTCAGCTATCTTGGGAAAAAAAAGTCAGAATTCCGGCTGGGGGCGAAAGTCATCCTCCTACCCAGGGGCACGGATAAGTGCTTAGACTTCCTATTTGGCACAGCGCTCAGAGCCTGTCACCATGGCTGCACAGCCCCCCATCCCTCCAAAAGGGCACCACAACAACCCCATCATCATTTCCAGGTGTTGCATTGGTTGCACAACTATACAAGCCCTACAGAAAGGGTTTCGCCTGGGTTTGCGGGATTTTGCGGGTGGAAACCATGACCATGGTAGACCATGGGCTAGGGAGATGTGCGTCGCAGGAGCCAACGTCATGGTGGCCGCGGTGGTGGCTTTCATCCTTCTGCTGCTGAGCCCCTACATCTACTTCGTTCCCAGGTGCCGGGCCCATGGGTTGGCTGGGCGGGTGGGTCAGGTTGGGCTGGCTGGTTGGTCGGTCCGTTAGTTGAGTCAGTGGGTGGGTGGGTGGGTGGGTGGGTGGGTGGGTGGGTGGGTGGGTGGGTGGGTGGGTGGGTGGGTGGGTGGGTGGGTGGGTGGGTGGGTGGGTGGGTGGGTGGGTGGGTGGGTGGGTGGTCCACAGGCAAACTGGTGCGCACACACAGCCCAACAATCTGAGGATGCCGGGGATCTCACTTAAGCGTTGGACGAATATGTTTGTGGCAAACTATTTAAGGAGCGATAACCACACTAATTAGTGTTTGCCTGACCCATTCGCTTGGGAAGTGTTTGCCTTTTTTTGTTTTTTGTCCCGTTTTAAGCGCCAAGCGTTTTTTTTTGTCGTGTGTCTTGTAGTCTGAGCGCCATTTATCAGGTCTATCTAGATGATTTCGCATTCCTGGTGAATCCTCTTCGAAAATCAACTATGCCGTGTGCTTGGTGCAAATTTGAGGCGTGATTTCCTGGTATGTTCAAACTAAGGCTATGCCGTGTGATTGCTTTGGTCGTGCAAATGATTTGGCACCCAGCATTTGTGGGCGGAAACCAGCGCCCCTTTAGAGTAAGGTTGGCACTTGATTAATAAAGGCCCCCCCCCCCTGAACAATGGAGGCGCCAAAACAATGGGGGTGCACTTTTGGGACGTCCAAACAATGGAGGGTTTTGGGGCCCAATTCTACTTTAGTATTGCAGCCACTTCCTTTTTGCGCAGTTCTACTTTAGTATTGCAGCCACTTCCTTTAGTATTGCAGCCACTTCTTTTTTGCAATTCTACTTTAGTATTGCAGCCACTTCCTTTTTGCAATTCTACTTTAGTATTGCAACCACTTCTTCCTGAGCAGACTTCTTGGAATACTACTTTAGTATTGCAACCACTTCCCTTTCAGTTCTTTCTGTAGCCATTCAAAGGGGTGTGCCTTTCTGCAAGTGGGCCACCAATTGAAAGGGGAATGCTTTTGAGCAAAGCAAGTGATAGTTTATTTTCTGGGAGGGGGGGCTGGGGGCTTGCCACTATTGTGGTCCCCTAAAACAATCACATTATTGTGGTTCAGTGGGGTCTGTGAGGGGTACCCTTGTCCTGATTGTTTATTTGGCAATTTTTTAGCACGGTTTAATAAAGAGTTTGCAGTTTCAAGGGCTGGGGATGGTTTTCAAATTTCAGAGTTTCAGCTGGCTTTGGGTTCTGTGGTTGAGCAACCAATTGAAAGGGGAATGCTGTTAAGCAAGTGGGCCACCAATTGAAAGGGGATGCTTTTAAGCAAGTGGGCCACCAATTGAAAGGGCAATGCTTTTGAGCAAAGCAACTGATAGTTTATTTTCTGGGAGGGGGGGCTGGGGGCTTGCCACTATTGTGGTCCCCTAAAACAATCACATTATTGTGGTTCAGTGGGGTTTGTGAGGGGCACCCTTGTCCTGATTGTTTGTTGTTGTTTTTTTTGCATTTTTTTAGCACGGTTTAATAAAGAGTTTGCAGTTTCAGGGCTGGGGATGGTTTTCAAATTTCTGAGGTACACAATCTTCAGCTTGTTGCTGAAGGAGATTCAGAGTTTGGGGGGGGGGGGTGTTTTTTGTTTTTTTGTTTTTCTTAAAAATGCTTTGTGGAGTTGTTTTTGGAATTTTCCCCCTGGCCAAAAAAACTTTCTATTATTCTGGTCCCCTTAAACAATGGGTGTGAACCATAATAAGGAAAAACTTTCTATTATTCCGGTACCCTTTACTAATCGAGTGCCAACATTAGGACAGTAGCCACAAGGATGGCTCACTCTACCGCAAATTTCCCACAACCATGGCAATCGTTGGCTTTGAGGATTCCTGCAACTCCCCCAAAGAGTGTCAGATGCTCTGTGGACATGTCCCTTGTTGCGGCGTTGAACAAGTGCCTGTAGTGCATGCTGGTTTCTATGGCTCTAGAATGGGACACCCTCTAGCCAAGGGGCTTAATCCTGCATTCTCTCATCCGGAGATGCCCCTTCTGTTGCCCGAGAGGAGCAAGTTATGGCTGAGGTTGCATTTAACTACATGTCAAATGACATGTGCGTACGGGTCATTGACACGGCTTGCTGATGGATAGGCATACGCAGAGTTGTGGAAGCCATCTTTCTGTACCATCAGGGAAGCGTCCTGGGTAAGTGCAAGAAATGGGATCGGGAAGGCCCAGCAGTGTCGCAGAATGGCAGAATGGGACCTTCCCAGAATCTGCGCTTCCCAATGTCCAGCCATTGGCCAAGCGCAGGTGCGCCCTGAACATCATCATCATTTTGGGCGCCTCTTCCCTGACAGAAGCTTGGCATGCCACTCTGCGCCTTTTGTCGGGAGGCCCCTCTACCCCAAAAGCAGAATGAGCAACTTTCGCAGAGAAACTGTTGTGTACAAGCGGGACATTTTCCAGAAGGACACATTTCTCGATTGCTCTTTGGCATGACCTTTAACACTGTAGCCTTCGGATCATGTCGCCATGATGTCACTCCTTCCAAGTGCAACTTTTTTGTTACCGGACCGGCGGTCAAGGACCAAGCCAGTTGGTCATGAAGTCGCCCCTTGAGGGCAGAGCTAGTGGTAGACCCACGCGCTGAGTTTTGGACTCCCCAGCAAACCGACCAATTGTGTGGGTGTTGTTTTCTGATACTTGCTGGCGGCCAATAATTCAGCAGGGATCCAGCTGCTAGCAACTATGGTTCAACAATCATAGTCTTTGTGGGCTGATTGAGGCCATTTGAACCTTGACATCCATGGCTCCTCGAAATACTTCACTCCCTGAGTTCCTGGACTTCAAACTTGCGAAGAAAATTTGTTGGTATCCTTGTAAACCGAGTTGCTGGGGGATGGTTCGGGTGAGTTGTGGGCTTGCTGACATTTTAGTGAGGGCGGGCTTTGGGTTTGTTTGGGGTTCGTTTAGGGCTGGCAAAAGGCTGTGCAGCTGTGGTTGGCTTGTTTAGGGTTAACTTTGGGTTGGTTTGGATTGACTTGGGGCTGATTTGCGCCAGGTCCGCAGCTCTTTTTTGCAGTGGGCTTCAAGGGCCGGTTTTTGAGCTGCTTCTTCCGACCCAGAGTCAACCTTAAGCCCACCCAACAGGATGCCAAAGCCAAGACCTGCCCTCTTTAAGACCTCAGTAAGCCCAGCACTCGCCTGAAACCCCGAGCAGCTCTCAACTGAGCCACAATCGTAACCCGTGTAGATGAAGGTTGGTAAGGGACAATCCCAGCCACAAATTAAATAGTTTCGGCCGCCTTTGTGTTTCCGGGTTTTGATTGCGACTCAACTGCCACCAACTCCGACCCCCGCTCTCGGAGAATACTGCCTGATGCCCCCAAGGCCTTGTGCTGAGCCGAGGCTAGCAAAACGCCAGGGCTAGTTTGCAAAACACATCTACCGGTTTGCTACCTGGTTTGATAGTGGATTTGTAGCAAGGCCTAAGCATAGGGACCCCAAGCTCAGTCACATCCGAGTCGTCCCAGACAGGAGTTCAACCACGCGTATTGGCTGTGGTCCTTGCGGTCCACCAAGACGCGGCAGCGCACGTACATCATGGACTTCCTCGCCTTTTGCCGCAAAGGAAGGGACTAGGTCCCCCAGCTAGGTGCCCTTGTACCAACTTTTTTTGGGGGAGGGTTCCCCTATTAAAATAGACTACAGAAAAAGGGTACCCTTATTCTAGCCTCTCTACTGGAGGAAATGGGGGAAGTACCCTCGTTGGATTTGGTCCATCTCAATTTGGTTTGTGTGCTTGTTACCTCCTTCGTGTCAGAAAAAAACAGTTTAGGGGTAAGCTCGTTTTCGAGTGCTCGGGCGGACTGAGGACTGGGTTGAACCACTACTCTCGATTTGTCCTGTTATAATTGACATGGGATATGGGTGTGGTGTCACTTTTCCACCGAAAAGGAGTAACTACCCACAAAAAAGACAGGCGCGTGGGGTTTTTATGCGTTTACCGCAGGGCGAAACCGTCTCCCTGTTTGAGATTGTTTGAGCGTGTGTCTTGTGGGAACCCCTTGAACCCTTGTGGTCGGTTTGAAGCCAAATCGGAACACGGGCATTTTTTCGGACTCGCCCAATGTTAGACAAACTCAAAAGCACACACACACACACACACACACACGAACAAACACACACACACAGACACACAACCGCACACACGCACACCCACACCCACACACCCACACACGCACACACGCACACACAGAGACACCCCACAGACACAGACACACAGACACAGACACAGACACAGACACAGACACAGACACAGACACAGACACAGACACAGACACAGACACAGACACAGACACAGACACAGACACAGACACAGACACAGACACAGACACAGACACAGACACAGACACAGACACAGACAGACACAGACACAGACACAGACACAGACACAGACACAGACACAGACACAGACACAGACACAGACACAGACACAGACACAGACACAGACACAGACACAGACACAGACACAGACACACACACACCCACACACACACACACACACACACACACACACACACACACACACACACACACCACACACCCACACACACCACACACACCACACACACCCCACCACACACACCCCCACACACCACACCCACACACCACACCCACACCACCCACACCCACACCCACACCCACACCCACACCCACACCCACACCCACACCCACACACCCACACCCACACCCACACCCACACCCACACCCACACCCACACCCACACCCACACCCACACCCACACCCACACCCACACCCACACCCACACCCACACCCACACCCACACCCACACCCACACCCACACCCACACACACACACACCCACACCCACACCCACACACACACCCACACACACACACACACACACCACCCGCACGCACGCACGCACGCACGCACGCACGCACGCCACCACACACCACCCACACCCACCCACCACACCCACCCCACCCACACCCACCCACCCACCCACCCCACCCACCCCCTACCCACCACCCTCACCACCCACCCTCACCATTCCACCCACCCACCCACCCACCCACCCCACCCACCCACCCACCCACCCCACCCACCCACCCACCCACCCACCCCACCCACCCACCCCACCCCACCCACCCACCCACCCACCCCACTACCCACCCCACCTACCCACCCACCCACCCACCACCCACCCCACCCCACCCACCCCACCCACCCACCCACCCCACCCCACCCACCCCACACCCCCCCACCCCCACTTACACCCCCACACCCCACCCCCACACACCCCCACCCCCACACACCCGCACCCCCACCCACCACCTACACCCCCGCACCCCCGCACCCCCGCACCCACGCCCACGCCCACGCCCACGCGCACGCCCACGCCCACGCCCACGCCCACGCACACGCACACGCGCACGCGCACGCGCACGCGCACGCACACGCACACGCACACGCGCACGCGCACGCGCACGCGCACGCACACGCACACGCATACGCACACGAACACGAACACGAACACGAACACGAACACAAACCTACCCGCGCACACACAGTCACAACACAAACACCCACACCCACGCATGCGCGCAAGCAAGCACGCTTACCCGCAACGCACGCGCGCTTACGCGCACAGACACAGAGATTTACATGCACAAACACAAATACACAAATATAAGGATGCAAGCAAGCAAGCAAACAAAAGACAACCAAGCAAGCAAGGCACCAAACAAACAAACCAACAGCCAAACAAGCAAACAAACAAATAAGCAAACAAACAAACAAGCTGACAAGCAAACACACAAGCAAACAAACAATCAATTTGTCACACAACACACACACACATCTACTTCGGAGGCACATTCAGACCACCGACCTGTCGAGGTCTGGTGGGTGGCCTTTTTGTTCACCCTCATACTGGGCGCGCTCAAAGGCCAGTCGCTCCGCCGGAATCCGAATGGATGGTACCCCTTTTGGGGTTGGTGTTAAAGGGACACCGAAAACACCAACCACTTGGGATCCCCTATTTTAAGCAAAATCCATTTCGCGCCAACCAGGATGGATGAACCATGAGAACCTGCCCTATGAATTGTGGGATAAACATGGGCAATAAGTGCAGGAATTTTGAACATCCGCCAGTGGAGCATGTAGATTGTTTCACTTCATTTCTTGGGTTCCTGCGTGGGTTTGGCCCAAAAAGGGGCAAGTATGTATAGGTGAGGGAAGCCAAAAAGCCTCATGGAGGATCAGCTTCTGAGACGCACCCTGATGCTGCAATCTACCGCTATTGGGTTGGATCTTTAAGACTTTAACTTTTTGGATTCCCCTCGTACATCCTTTTAACCAGCAAAAAGTATAAAAGCTAAACTTTTTGCTGCGAGATCTACAGCACCCAAGTTGTTGAAGGGCAAGCACTTTTGAATCCCGACACTGTTTTCAGAGGGCCGGAACTGAACATGTGTTGGATTTTGACGTTTGGCCTTCTTCGCATCCATCTGAGACCGTGAGATGTGGAATGTTTCGCAGTTTCCCGTCAAAAGTTTACCTCAAGCTACCACTGGAAATTGTCTTGCAGATTGTCATGAAACCCAACAAGCCCATCCATTTTTGTATCTTCTGGAAGCACCGTTTGTGGGGCTCCCTTGATGGATTTCCGGGACCTGACCCTCAATGCTGGGTGCATTGTGTGAAGGGCAAGCTGGGCCAGGTATTTTGGGTGCCGTGGTGGTGTCGCTGGTGCTCATCGTGTACCAGGCCCAAGTCATCCCAAGTCAGTAACCGGCCATTGGTCTGAAAAATTGAACACCCAGAGGAGGTTGTTCAATCATTATAAAGACCTGTCCTCTCCAGTTCCAGTCCCCGCCTGTTTACCCAATAGGACTGAATAGGAAAGCATGAGGGAGTTGCCTTTGTTGTTCTCCGGGATGGAGAGGGCAAGGCAGACTCGGGTCGTAGTATTGGGGGGGCATTCAAACCTAGATTTGTTTGCTAGCGTCATGTTATTTTGGACGGGCAGTCCTTGGGAAAATTACAGGGAATTGTATTGGCATAAAGTACCCGCAATAGCTTTTGCAATTTGCAGTTGCCGGTTTGGCATTTTGGGATTTCTGCGAGGCAAACAGGGGCCTCATTCATCAAGGGGAATTTGGAGGGTGCCGAACCGCGTTGGAGGGGTCATTTTGCCACACCTTGTGGATGTCAAAGTGGTATTGGTTGGCAGTCGGCTGCGGCAAAGATGCTCTCTTGAATTACAGCTAGTTCACCCAGTAGTGCCCTTTTACCTTTTTTGGGGGATGATTCCCCCACTAAAATAGACTACAGAAGAAAGGGGATCCTTATTCTAACCTCTCTCTACTGGAGGACCTAGACAAACATTGTATAGTCAAATCAAAGCACGCTCACCTGGCAGTGATGAAGGTCACTTGCTGGTGGTTCAGGATTGGAATATCGATTGCTATCTTGAGAAAACACCAATAAGGTGTAACAACTGTGGGCCGCACAAATGGTTGCATTCGCTTTGTCACTTGACACCAACCTGAAACGGGCATCCTCTAAATCACACAGCCCACATGGTGTCCATGTTTGTAGGACGTATGGTACCTCTGTTTGTTTTTCAAAGTGAGGCCTGGCAGTTCCTGTAGCGCACGACCCTTGGGCAATTCAGCCACGGGCTGCTTGCCGCAGGTGGCGGATCCTCCCATCACCCGGCTGGGCTTTTGCGAATGCCGCGGCCGGTGGCTCAGCGTTAAGGACTGGGACCGCGCTTCAAGATTAGAAGGGTACTGCAAGGGGCGATCGATGCAGGGTGTGTCAGGCAAGTGGTTAGTAAGCTTGTTGTAGTTACAAGTCTCCGTTGAATATGGGTTATATCCGGGCTTACCAACCCCTGCCCCTTTACATTAAGTAGCTTCGCCACGTGTTATTTTTGTTCGTGGGGGGGAGTTTTTCTAACTCCAGTTTAAGGGCCAACAAAACAATTTGTTGGGGGTCAACAAGAAGAACGGGGTCCTGTATTAATCCTTTCTTGCTAAACCCCGCCAAAAGCCCAGGTGAAACGGGCGGTTTTTGGAAGGGAGGATGGGTGAACAGAATCTGGAGTGCCGCCATCCTTGCATGTAGGAAATAGGAGCTCGAAGGTTGGAACCGCGTTTTTCAAAAGGCAAGTGAGCATTTGGGTGGTTCCTCCACTGCATTTTGGAAACGGAGCTTCAAAAAAACAGAGGTTGACTTTGCATTCTTTAAGACTTGTCAAGACCAGTAGCTTTGAGTCTAGCTGCTGGAATGGGATGCTGCCGTCCACGAGAACAGAACCCAATTTCAACATCACAGGTAGCAATTTCAAAGCAGAACCGATGCCTGCGAGTTTTCCCCGTCTTCTCGAAGACAAGACCCGCGTACCAGCTCAGTGAGTGTGCCCCCAAAGACTTGACAGACCCCGCCTTTGCACTTCTCATTTAGACAGTCCTGATGAACGATCCTGGTTTGCAGACCCTTGATCAGACATATATCAGACACATATAAATATATATATATATGTATGTACATGCATATACAGATATATGTGTTCAATTGTACGTACACATATATGCATAAATAAACACATATACTTATGTGTATACATATGTGTATATACATATGTATACATAGAGCGCACAAAGCGGCGTCCTCGGGCTGTACTCGAAGGAGCGCGAGGACACTGCGCAGCGCCCGGGGATCTTGGCAGTACGCCCGGAGGGCCCGCTCTTCTATGCCAACATGGAGCGCCTGGAGGCGGGGGGGGGGGCGTGTCCCTTGCTGGCGCGATAGGCAGGGTGGAAAGGGAAGTTTAGCGGAATTTATCTTGTATTTGTGGCGTCCCGGTTGTTTCCGCTTAAAAAACCCCACATGGCTCCTGTCTTTTTGATGCAGGGAAACAGGTTTCCCAGACCTTGAGTGGTGCCCCCTTTGTCAACAGCCTTTGGAGAGGTTCCTGTTAGAATCATGGTGCACTGTCTCATGGCCACTGCAGGTCTTGAGGTGTAAACCGCCTTGCCTTTTTGTTTTTCTGCTTCGGGTTCCCCACCAATACTGTGGATGGACCAAATCCTGCACCACCTAAAACACCTGGGGTGATGCTTCCCCTGTAAATACCAACGAACAATGGTTTGGTATGGTTTCAAAGTGGTGCAGGATTTCGCCCACCCACAGTTTGGGTGTTCTTTTTTAGAGGAACGCCCAACACAATGGTGTTCCTTTTCGTTCCCTTTCCAACCCCAAACAAGGGTTCCTCAAAAAAAGACACCCATATGTGTCAACCTTAGGCATTCAATTATTTTTCTACCAGGGCCACTGAACGAAGCTATATGTCAGGTGTCAAACTTATGCCCCACACTCCACCGTATTGAGACGCTTGCACGTGCTACATGTCAGGGTCAAAGGTGCCTGAGCTTCATCAGAACCTGCAGTTGTTGATTTTCAATGCTGAAGAAGACTGCTCTTTGATTCAGCTTTGATTGCACACATGGGAGAAACCAGGCACTGAAGATGAAACACTGAGCTGCCCAGTGTTTCCACTAAACATCGCAGTGCGGCGGCGAGGTGCCGGCTTGCCTGCGAACTGGCTGAATCGGGGCTGGTGAGTCAGTGATCCTATTTGAAGCTTTCCCACCATGATCCCTACATTTCCGTTTTAGCTCGTTAAGTGACTATATAGTTGCTGTTGATGAGATGTTGAAAGAGGATATGGGCTTGTCTCAAAAAGGAGGCACCCTGCAGGCACCCCCACAAAAAGAATGGTTTCCTTTTGGCTCCCCTTTAAGCACCAAGCCAAAGGCGACGGGTCCCCGTAACAAATCACCGCCCTGACCGCCGCAGCTTAGGAGTGGCTCAATGAGATGGAGATCTCGGCCAACGCCGCAGCTCGGACCAAGTTGATGGATGTGCGGCGTTGACATCCAGTTGATGTGTCTCTCTTTTTGGAGTTGGTACGACTTTGCGGGTTTGCGAGGGAAACTACACAGAAAGCTACTATTTTATCTTCTTTTTTTTTTTTGGGGGGGGGGGGCAAAAACAAACAAAAAAACGTTTGCCTATCTTATGGGTGTCGAGCGACAGCCATGATGTAGGTCCCTTATCTGAGGATCCCTGAAATTCCGGTTTGAGACTTCTAGTAATCATCGCAGGTCCAGCCTGCCATAATCTCAGCCACTTGTTTGTTATTTGCATGTGTGTTTTGGCTTTGGCTGATTGCAATGGTTGTTTTTTTTGGCCCGTGGAAGACGAGTTGCTCGACCTTGCACTCTTTTGCTTAAAAGCCTTTCCAAACCGCTCGCCATCGTTTTGGTGCTTGCCACCCTTCAACACACAAATGGCTGCAGCGAGCGTTGTAGTATGTTGTAATTAGGCTCCACGATTCTGAAGATATGAAGCAGAATTTTCACGTTGGCCCGTGTTGGCATTTTTGGGCCCAGGTTGGTTTCCCTGGCTGTACCTTTTTGGTGCGCCACTTGGTTCTAGAAAGCGGTTTGGATGCGCTCACCAGTTCTTCCCCCGGGTTGGTCCTTTTCCAGCAAACTTAATATTTTTGTACTCTTTGAATATTCGACAGGGGGTGGATCCACATATTCGCCATCGAAACCGTTTTCGGGGCTGGGCCAACGCTTAGCGAGGCCGGGACGCCGGTCAAGGCCATCGTCTTGTCGGCGGCGGCGGTGGGGTTTGTAGATACCTCGGCCCTGGAAGCGCTGGTGGTGCTGAGACCCGTCCGAAAGTCCATGCCGCAAGTAGTCGATGGCCGTGGGAAGAACCGCGGGGGAATTGACCCAATTCTCACAAAAGGAGCCAGGGACTCACGACGTGTCTTTTGTCCTTTTGGGGGAACCATGACATGTGACCTTGGCTCTGCGATCTGGAAGAGCATGTTTTGGTTGGGTTCCTTCAGGTGTTTTCACGTGTCAACCGGTCTTGGAGTAGCAACCTTTCACAAAAGAATGGTTAGCCTGTTTAAGGGAGCTGTTCGGATTTGTGTTTCCTTTTGTGTAACACAACCAAGCCGAACAATCAATGGATGTCCCCAGGAAATCCACTGGAGTCTATATGTGGGAGTCCAAACCAGTGGAACCCTTCTTTTGAACAAATAAACCAAGGACACCTACTCACAGGAGCCATGGTAAGTCTCCGATCAATGGGTTATACCTAGGCTTACTAACCACTTACTCTGTACCCGATCTAGCGAGTAGTTGCTTCTTCGAGGGGCCAACCAACCAAATGCACATGTAGACAGTGTATACATATGTATATATATATATATATTATATATATATATATGTATGTATACATGGGTGTAATTCTATATCCCACAATGGTTTGTATCCATTTGGCTGTTGAATGCAAACTAAAAGGATATCGAAGCACTACTTGGAGATGGGTTTGACGCCCCATTCGGTTATATACCCTTGGTGGTATTGTGCCCATCACTACCGCGTTGCTGTTTAAACACAGAAAAGTAGGGGGTTGTTCCTCTCCAAAGGTGGTCTGATTGCCACTAAACCCAGGGCCCCCCATGAACAACCACGAGGACTGCGGTTGGGCTTCTTCTCACCTCCGGAGTTCCTGAGACTTGATACCTTTCGGGTTTGGACCATTTTGGTGGTAGATAAGGAGCTCCCGGACTTTTTTTGGGGCCACCCGCTCGGGCGGCGCGCGTCTTAGGATGGACGCCTACCAGAAGCGGCACATCGCCTTGCTGGTGGCCCATGCCTCCGGCCAGCCGCGCCAGATCCTGAATCACACCCTAGGCGCGGGCAGAGTGGGCGGTGAGACAGACGGGGGGAGGGGTCCTTTTCGGGGACCGAAAGACGGGGCTCCCGTGCTCTTGTGGGACGGACAGAAAGACGGGGGTTCCGTCCTTTTTCGGGGTGGACAGAAAACTGGGTGTTGTTTTTTTTGTTGGGTGGGATGGGCGCTTGAAAATTGCCAGTGTGTGGTCCGTTTGGGAGAGACGTGGGGGGGCTCTGCAAAAAAGTCCCACTAGAAGAAGAAGTCTCTCTAGCGTTGCCCACAGCTCGGTGTTTCTTGGAATCCATGCAGTATGTGCCTTTGTGCGAATCATCACGAGCTTCCCTGGGCACCTCTGACCATTTTTGACCCCATCGTTTCTTGTTTACATAAACGATCAACATACTACAGGGCTCCTTAAAAGATACATTTTGCAACCATTTGAAACATGGTGCTTTTTCAACACCAAAATAAAGTTGGAAACCACGATTTACAAGTTGCAATCAGGTGCATAATGCATCCGGATCCCTGTACTAGGGGCTCATTAAGAACTGGGGTCACCTTGTTCGCTGGCACCCGTTTGTATCCCCTTTTTGTCTGGTGGGTTTGCCACACATGGGTCATGTTTTTCTACCTTTCGGGTCACCGGTTTGGTTGCAACTGGGTCCCTAAGTTGGAATGACCCCCAAACCGAGCCATCCAACTGTTGGATTTGGGGTCTCCTGCTTCGTTCCCGAACCCGAGATCGGGCAAACTCGGACAAAGCCGACCTTTGGACCTTTTGAGTTTCCAATTTTGGCCCATTTCATGGTTGCTGTTGGGAAACATTGTGGTTTAGTGGGAAATCCAACCACTGAACTGCTAAAATTCATTCTTTGGCTCCCCTTCCAAGGTCAACCAAGGCATTTGTAGTCATGGCCCCAAACAGTTAAGTCTTTGTTTTCCGGTCCTTTGCGCTTCCCAGGTGATGTCCTTCCCGCGGGATCTCTGACCACTCCTTGGACCGTTGAGGAGCTCGGCGCGGACAAAAACACAAACACACACACATGGCTTCCATTTGCTTAAGAATATTTCTTATTTCCCCCCTGTTGGTTTTAAAAGGAATCTATCACTACTGGATTTGTTTTTCCCAGGGGTCTTAACCAAATGGAAGTTGAAATTGGGCTCAAAATAGGTACGCAAATTGACCATAGATAATTTCGGTTGCAATCGTCTTTGGTAAGAACATCGCAGCCCGTCTTTTGCATCAAGCTGAACACACCCCCGTCCTGACACCAAGCAGTTGTGGTCGTTCCGTAGGAGCCGAAGCGGTTCTTCATGGGGGTCCCCAGAAGTATCACGCTCCTAACAAGGGTTTTGTGATGAATGGCAGGGTGTGAACATTTTCCACGCACAAGCAACTGAGGAACAATTGGCTAGTTGACCTCCCCCCCCCAGAAAGAACAAACACAACAAACACAAACATATATAGACAAAAGATAAAGATATGTGTTTTTTTTTTGTCTTCGGTGGTTTCCCTTTGAACCCACTGGGAAAAATGTGCATTCTCAAAAACACAAGCAACAAATAGGAGGTGTCCAAGCTGTCAGGAGTGCGTGCAGTACCTCTTGGCCCAGCAGAAAGCTGAGTTCGAACAGGCGGGCGACTCGCGACTCGGGGCCCGTGCCTTAATTATGTTTATTCATGACCGACCTTACCAATGTTCACTTCTGACTGACCTGTTTATGGATGAATCAGGTTCAAAAAACAAGTTCCGTTATTTACTTTATGTTTGTTATCTTGTCTTGGACAACGATCTCGGACGTCATTTTGTTCGCGATACCCCGAAAACCTGAGAAAGGCACCTGCAAAAATGATGCGGGACATCACAACGTCGGAATGAATACACCCCAGGCACGTAGTTCTTAGCTTGACTTATATACAATAAAAACATGATATACACTACCAGTAAAGCCTGGGAAGCAGGGGGGCGGAAGCTTCTAAAAAGGGAAACAGCTATAGTTGGAGACATTCCCTTCCTGTCACGCCCAGCCAGCGCTGTCCTGTTCTTCGGTGACCGCGTCACAGGTCTGTTTGTTGCTTGCATGGCACGTGCGCAGAGGGTTCAGCATCCGACCGTTGACCATACTGAAAAACAACAATCTCCCACCAACTAACATGGAAGTGCAAAAATGCCCTTTCCAAGAGGAAATAAGTCTTTCTACAGGGGTCTGTGCCCTTCCATGTTAGCACAGGTTTCCGCTATTGAAATGGACATATTATTATAATGATCATTATTATAATTATAATTATTATTATATATATATATAAGCAAGTTGTTTCAGGGTCGGCCACCATTCAAGTCCGCGGAGCGGAGCGGCTGGCTGTGGGTATGCGTCAAAGTCTCCGAGAACATTAAACATGGTTGTTGTTGGGAAACATTTTACATTTTTCCTTATTGCGGTTTAGTGGGAAATCCAACCACTTAACTACTAAAATTCATTTTTGTTGGCTCCCCTTCCAAGGCCAACCAAGAAAAAACCACACCCCTGTGGGGAGGGAAACCGTTGGTTTGCAACGGGCTGAAACGCAAACCGGTTCGCGCCTTTTCGAGGCCGCGCTGCTTGAGACGCACGTGAAGTTGCAAGCTGGTGATCCCTCGGCGCCTTTGTCGCCCCTGGTGAGACTCGGCTTCTAGCCGAAGTGGTCGGTCCCTATGTTTTCCTGGACACATCACCCGGCAAAAGCAAAGCCGCACGTGGTGATCCTTAAAGCACCAGGGGAATTGTAGGGAACCCTGGCATGGTCTCTATGTTTCCCTGCTGGACGTTTCACTTTTGCGTTGCTGGCTGGAAGCAGGGCCCCAGCGTCTTAAGAGATAGTCTTGTTGACCACTGAAAACTTAACCTCTTCCACCTGCCGCAAGCGAAGAACAGCGCGGATATTTGTGGAAGTCCAAGGGTCAGATGACAATCAGCCAGGCACTAGGCGAACCACGGTCAAGTGCAAGACGCTGGGTTCCCTGTTTGCCTTGTTCCTGTTCACGAAAGCTAGCTTTAGCTAGCTGAAGTTTCTCCTTGCGTAAGCAAGGTAAGGGGCTCAAATGCCGAAAGATTGATTTTTCAATTATTTGAGCAGAACAGATTGAAAAACATCAATTATTTAGACCATCAATTATTTAGACCCCCCCCCCTCCCCCCCCCCCCCGGGTCCCAGGCTCGATTCCTCCCTGGTCCATCCCCCCCCCCCCGGGCAGTGGCTCAGTGTTCAGCAGTCTCGGTTTGCCCGTTTTGGACTTGGTGCTACGAACTTTTACATGTTCCACCGATTCAGCTTGTTCATTTGAGACCTCAGTCTTCTCAGTAAACCACCTCGCAAGAATCGTTGCACACGCAGCATGCAGAACCCAGAGGTGCTTTAAGACAGCTTCTGACGCCTCTCGTTGTTTTTATTTTTCAAGGTTTGCCACGCCACCATGTGCGTTTGTGTGTCGCATCCTACGAATCTTGCCGGGCCTCTCGTTGTACACAAGCTACCCATGAATCCACTCTGTCACCGACCCATCTCATGCAACAACTGCTAGCTTTCGTTCACCCGCTCCTCAAGTTTCTGGGACCAAACGTGCACCTGTTGAACTTTTTGCATGATTGTCCCGTTCTAGGTTTAAGCCGACATATTGGTTTACTCCGGTCTTTTGGCCCGTTTCCCTGAGGTTTCCAGCTTGTTTTCAGTTTTCAGTGTGTTTATTCTCATTTGCCCAGCTTAGATTGTTTTTTGGTTTCGTTGTGTTCGCGTTTGGATTTCAGGTTTCTTTGCCTTGTGAACTTGGTTCTCGTGCGGTCGATTTTCTCAGCTATTTGGCAACTAGGTTCGTTTTGGATCAGGTTATGGTCTTGCTTTTTGGCTTTCCTCATCCGTTTCTTTTCCTTTCGGTCACATGTCTAATTGTGACAATGGCTTCCTGCATCAAGTCGAGCCGTGGGCCTTCGATTAACTTGTTTGGTTTGGTCTCCTCTGATATCTTGGTCTTCCAACATGTGCAAATTATTGCTGTTTTGTCAACCGGCGAAAATGATTGCTGATTTGGGAAACGGCGTTAATTTTGCATGCTCGGAAGGTCCAGTTTTTTTTTAGTTTTGGACGTTTTTGGAGCGCAATTTGAGCTGAGCAACTTTTCATGTGCCTTTGTGCCCAGGGGCCAAGACATATGTGGTTTCCTTGAGCAAGCAGACTTCATTGCCTCGTGTTTGTTTCTGGCCACCATTTTGTGTGGCCGGAATGTGGGTACGGCTGAATTTGCAACCTACCCACAGTGGCTCTCCTTTTCATCAGCCGCATTGTTTGTTGGAGGCAGTTCATGGTTGATGTTATATTTGAGTATGGTGGCAGTGATTTTTTGTTATCGGGGACGAGCTGAAAAATGATGGGTGGACCTGTTTATCCCCACCTAAATCATGTCCAAAGGGTCCCTGATTGAACTTCCCCTAGAGACACACAGCCAATGAATCCTGATGCAGCAAGCCCGTGTTCAGGATGCGCGGCAGTCAGACGCAGGCAAGGCGAGACAAATCAAAACGGGAAGAGGGATGGCGGTTCCTTAGATCCGGAAGTCCATCTAGGGGTCTCTACAACTGTTTTAGGGGACCGGTAGACGAAAAATGAAGGCATAATCTGAAAATATGTTTCTGTGTACCCCAGACCTAGGCCAAGAGAGCTGCGCTGGGTCCCGTACCGAGGTTACATACTTTTGGGGATGTTCCCCCTGGCCACCATGAGGGTAACTTTGAGGATGTCACTTTAATGGACCCAGTGTAGTGTCGTTAGCTATAGGCTTAGACCTTTAGACGGTTCACTCCCGCGTGCAGTGAGTGGGAACAAACCAAAGATGATGTTGCAGTATTTGTTCTGCAAAGTTTCTGATTTTGTCCCTTCTGTTGCTTGTTCAATCATCATTTGTTTTTGTGTACTAAAGGTGAGTTTCTTCTTAGCGGGCTGACGGAGGAGAAGTCGGAAGACTGCAAATATGGATTTGGGCGACCTTACCCCGCACCAGCCCGCCTCGAGTTTGGCGGCATTAACACAAGCACGTAGAACACCGGCCGAGTATGTGCATGCCATGCTTTTGGCTTGGAGAGGAAATTATCCAGAAGCTGACTATCCAGACTTCTACTGGTTCCTGGACTTAAAACTTTTTGGGAAGACCATTCTGGTGACAAGTCAAAAGTTTGCACTTTTTATGGTACCCCTTTTAAAGCAAGCATGATCTTGCTTTTTCCGAACCCTTGCTATCAACCCCTGGATAAACGGAATCAGTTGCCGCCAATTATGGTCGGGCAAGCCCGATACCTTTCGGCACAGAGCCGAAATGGGGTCACAGTGTGAGGGTCATACATTTCAAGACAAAGGAAGGGCGCAAGCGACTTTCGATCTAGATGCTGCGGAGACAGGTGTGGAAGTGGGGTTTTTGAACAAAGGATTTTGACCTTGTTGAGGAAACACAAAATGTGCAGGTCCGGCATTGTCGGAAACATCCGAGTGCTGAAATTCGAATGGAGGGTCCTTCCTGGCAGCCTGTCTAATTGCTTGGGGACCTTGGCGTTCATTTCACGCCCAGAGACACCGATTTGCATCTGTCCAAAGGCATCGCAGGATCCTATCCTTTCTACGTTTCTGGCCTCCACGTGTTTCCTTGAGGTTGTTCTAAGAGCCACTACTCCCAAACCACCACCCCAAGAGGAAATTGGGGTACATAACCCATATACCGTATATGGTGGATTATGCCCATCAAATCCCTGGAGGTGGTGGTTTGGGGGTAGTGGATACCATTTTATTAGAGTTGTGGAAAATCGGATTGTCAATCCTCCAATTTGAAGAGCCCACGGCGGCATAGTTCTTTCATGTTGTTCCATGTGTTTCTTTCGTGGTGAACAGGTCATTCGGTCGAAGGTGTTGCCGCATGTTTGTTTTCCAGATGTTTAGTACCTGAAACCAAAGTGACACCAGAGGGAAGTAGCAGGGGCATCCGTTTGGACCGAACGCGCAGGTGCGCGTCCCATCCATGCAGTCCTTCCCTGTGGACAGCGACCGGGAATCAGAAGGACTGGCGTGTGCAGTCACGATTTCAGGCAGCTTCGGCCCTACTGGACCCCGCCAATCTGGTGATTTTGATGCTGCCTCTCCCAATTGTGGTATTGCAATGTTTCGCTCAACCTTGGTTTTGGAGCACATACTCTAATTCATTCAAGCAAGCGGGTCTCATTTAAGGGGGTCACACCTTCAGCTTCGGACTCATTGCAGGAGGTTCGACAAGAGGGGTCCATGCTACTTTTCTGAAAAGTCCCTTGCAGTGTCCTCATGCTTGTGTGGAGTTAACACATTGCTGGTTCATGGTCGGTAATATGTGGCTTCCCTGAAACAGTTTAAGGTTGGAGTATAACAACCCTCGCCTTGGAGTCAAAAAGGGGGTGCACCCACAAGGTTTGGAAGAGCCACGTTTTCCAAGTTCGGTGCCGTGTGCAAGATCATTTGCCACATCGCACAACTCAGGCTCGAGGCATATTCGACTAATACCTTGTAAAATAAGGGCGCAGGGACCCCCCCGCCCAATTCCGCCCCCATTCCTCCCAGTTGCCCCCTCCCCCCCCCCAATTTCCCCGCCCCCCTCCTCCCAATTCCCCCCCCCTTTCTTAAGGGTCCACAAGGGGAGCGGGGTGACCCCTGGAATTCCAATTCCGTTCATGGTTCTTTTCTGGGGGTGGATCTGGAGGCGCCTGACCATGTGCTGCATGAGGAATGCCTTCGCCACGTTCCGACTCCGGCTGGCACATCCGGCCTCTCCAGAGCTCTGTGCAGTTTGCCTCAGGCGGAAGCCACCGAAAGCTCCAGCCAGACATTGGCTTGTCTCAAACATACTGTGGATGGACGAAATCCTGCACCACGTAAAGCAAACCCTGGGGTGATGCTTCCCCTGTAAATACCAACAAACAATGGTTTGCTGTGGTGCATTTCGTCCACCCACAGTAGGGCCTCCCTTCCTTTTGGCTTCCCTTAAGTATCCTCAAAATTGTACGAGTTACTCCTTACCAAAGGGGTTTGGATAATGTTTGTGTCGATTGCCGCTGGAGCTTTGATTGTTTCCCAACCCTTGGGCTTGAGGCCGTCGGTAAAACTGCCCCTACCCGCCCCCAGCCTGAGTAGTTCACCATATTTGCCGCATTTCAACACAAAGAACTGACAGAACCAAGAAATACCACTAAGCAATACAGAAAGGAAGACCGTAAGATAAGTTAGAGGAGCATAAACCATGAGTACATGAATAAACAGAGTTAAAATAGCACACACACACACACACACACACGAACACAACAACAAATTAAGCAAATAGATAGATTGAGTAAACTTTAACTGAGCACAATAAGTCATTTATAATGAAACACATCATACAAAGCAGGGAGCAAAGCGCTGCTTCCAAAGCCGTGACTTCCCTTCTGCTTTGCCTCCAACTTCATCGGCTTTTGCAGACAAATCCGAGGGGGGGAATAGAATTCACAGACTTGCTCTATGTCAAAGCGGAGCCTCATGTCAAACCCACGGGGCCCCACACAGCGTGTGTAAACTCTGTTTGTGATTTTATTTGTTCCTTTCGCTGTCGGTTTTGCAGAAGCATTTTTGTAAATGCGTCCTGACTGAAATTGAGGTGAGCTAAAAAGCATGCCATGGTTCAATCGCCGCACCATGTACTAGCCTCACGTTTGGCAATACGTTGGAAGCCTCCGTTTTTGCTTCAGGAAGGAAACTCGGGGCTCGCGATTGGCGTTTCCATCATGTATCCAAGCCTTGCGTTCGAAACAATCAAATTGGTGAGTGCTGCTATGATCCAACCAAGTGGTCACCTATGTTTGGGCATCTCCCACAAAGAGCCTTTCACCGTGCAAGAGGCATTGTCGTACGAGACAGGGAAGTTTGCAAACAGGATGTGTTCTCACCCTCTAATTAATGGGTTTGAAGGAACACCAGGAACCCCATCAGTCTCTTGTGGACTTGCTTCAGGGAATAACGTGTGGCGTGGCGCTCCCCAGTAAGCGCTACACACGACGTTTCCGCAAAATTCAGAAGCACCTGGGCTTGGTCGCCTTCCCAAGCAGCACCTAAGCAGCACCTGAGAAATACACTCTTCCCTCAGCAGAAACATGGAATTGGATCTTTAGGCTTTAACTTTTTGGGAAATAAAGGTGTTGTCCACTCAAGCCCCAAAGACTTAAACTTTTTGCAGGGGGGTCAACAGGGCCTCCGCGGGCTTCCCCTCAAAATCAACAAACAAACCTCTGGGCTTCTGTTCGTCGCAGGCGCGGATTTGGCCTCGCAGAAGTGAGCACGTGCCAACTAGCCCACTGCCTGGGTTGAAGGGGCGGATCGCCGAGGACTCCGACCGGGGGATGACAATTTATCCACTTGTCAACGGGCAAACGAGCGACAAAGGGACTTTGTTGCCCAGTGGCCTTTGTTTCCTCTTTTTTTGGGGAAGGGTTCCCCTTTAAACTCAACCAACCAGAAAAGGATGCCCTTGGTTTCCCATGGCCACTGGGCATCTGTGGAGGTTTCGAATCAACCGGCCCAAATGTGTGTTTCAGTTGTAAAAGTGCTTATGACTTCTTGTTGGAGGTACTGTACGCTACACATGTCACGATAGGGAATGGCAAAACAAGCCTTCTTTAGATGGGCTTTATATTACCAGGAGACACCCAGTTTAGCGGTTCTTTTGGTTGCTTTTGTCTAGTGGGCTTTCCTTTTCAACTCAAGTACCAAACACTGCCCGTTTTTCTTTTCCCATTGACATCCACTCGGGGCCTGGGTCAACACCCATGGGCAAGCGAGGGAAAGCGTAAAGCTGGCTCGATGAATGTGAATACGAGGGGTTCTCAACATTACGTGTCCTTTGGATTGGTTGGCCTGGATAGAAATAGATGGGTTCCACTGGTTTAGACATTGGCTTTCGCCCCATTCACCAGAAAAAATATATATATGTTTCTTTTCCAAAACCACACCGATGTTTGGTGGTTGCTTCCCCAACCACCATCTTAGACTCCCTTTCACCAACACAGCACCTGTGGGACCTGGGAAACCAATTAAAGGGACAGGGTACTTAGTCTCCATGGCCCTTTGAAAATGGATCCATGACCCCTTTATTTTGGGTGACCCCGATTTGTAGGGTCATGAAGAATGCAGGTACCGCTTCAAGAGGTTTTTTTATGCAGTTTGAGGATGTCACTTTCATGGAGCCAGGGGTGTTTGGACCTGTGAGGGGCGCTCCTCACATGGCAAGCCGGAAAGAAAAGGAGGGCGACTGAGCGAACGTGCGTTCCAAATGAGACCCGCTTCATCCCCTAGCCCCTTCATGGATTTCAGGGCATGCGACCCCAGACTTTTAGGTGGGCTTTTGACAGCTAGCGATAGTGGAATTGGATGGCATTGCGACCCCTCCTCGCCCTCAAGGCAAACGGTAGGGTGAATCAGCCACCAAATTCAGAGAATGATCATGGTCCCGTAAAGGATGCATCTAGTCCAGATAAAGAATCCACTTTCACCATCTGATTTGGGGGATCTCCTTTGTACAGCAGGTGGTTTTTGGATGTATGCTTCTACCGGGACCCTGTTGATCATGTCACCATGGGTAAAGTCATCCTTGTCACTCGCCAACTTTCTCAGAAATTATAGGACCCCTTTGTTCGGCGTGACTGGGCGGGGGGAGGGTTACGGATGGCCAGGTCACGTTTGGATGGCCAGGTCACGTTTGTTTGTTGCTTATGTGTTCCTTGAAGCAGCTACCAAAACGACAGTGTTTGCCGTTCTTGGGGTGTCTTGTCTTGCTCTCAGTCCCAGGTCCTCTCAATTTCTATTTGCTTCGAACTCATTTGTTTTCGGACACAGCCCGATGTGGAAGGCATGTGAAGCTTTCGGCCTTTCAGATGTTGGGGTTCAAGGCCCTTTTGCGGAACAGAACGATTCGACAAAATTTGTATATGTTGAGACGCCAAGCATATGGCTTCGCCCAAATGGACATCCCCGAAAAAAGAAAAGAAAAATGGCACCTGGGCGGCCTCCAGGATCGACTTTTGTTGAAGGGTCCAATGCCATGCTTGTGGCCCCAAACCTCCAGTGGTGCCCTTTTCTCCTTTGTTTCAGCCGGGCGTCGCTTGGAATCAACCATGTTTGTTGGTGGGGGGACTGCCCCTTTTTGCCAGCACCTTGTCAGAGTGGCTCCCCCACCGGAGTCATCTTGGGAAGGGGTGCGTATGGGGCAAATGGGACGGACTAGAAAGCAACGTGCATGCAGATAGGGCACCCTCACAGAGTTTGGGGAGAGGGGAGTGCTGGCGAGGAACCATCAGACCCCAAATGGATCATAGAACCATTATGGTCACACAGGTTATAACTTGGTTGCCCTTTGGTCCAACCCCTAGCCTTTTGCCTCCAAGATTAGTGTTTCCAACCACAAAATTCATACCCCCAAAACAAGACCTCACTTCGGCGGAAGCCAGCCAAAAGAGGCGGTTGTGGGTGGGATTCTATGCGGTGAGTCACGTTGCGCGTGGCTCAAGACAGTGGGGCTCGGCTTCTGCGCGTGGCTTTAGGCCATCTTGCAGAGGCCGGGGTTGGAGCATGTTGGCATGTTTAATGTCAGGAAATCTGAAACGGAAATTGAGGAAATAGACAGCTTGTAGTGAGAAGTCAAGTTTCCGAGTCCCTGAGAACTCGTTCTCAAGTGAAAGCTGAAGTAGAAACTGAAGCTCTTGCAAAAAAGTTTTAGTGAGAACTCGCAGAACACGGTGGATTTTAATAGGTGGATGAGCGGTTGGTTGACCCTTTATGTGGGTTGCCCCGCAAGACGATCCGAGGATTCAGACCCGAGCTGGCACTGCGATGAATCGCGGCCATTCTGACTTGGCGAATTTTCCATAGGGGACCTCTGATTGGCGAATTCTGATTTGGCGAATTTTCTGATTTGGCGAGTGAGTGGACATGAATCCCCGCCATGTCCTTTTCAAAAGGTCCCCGATTAAAAAAAAATCATATCCATTTGGGGTAGATGTTTGGAGAAAGCCAGAATGGAGAGCGCGCCCTCAATTCACCCGCAGAAAATCCGGTTTTCGCATTCCATTGGGGTGCGGTTTTATTGAGGGTACTTGTTTGGGGGGTTGTTTGGAGAACCAAGGGGAAACCATTTGCGGCATTCACCAGTTTGGATAGATACCTATGTAAGCCAAAATTGAAGCCTTGCATTTTGAGGAGTTTGGCTGCTCAAATTTCGGCTTCCACGATAGTTTTGGCCGTTTTGCTTTCTTGGGTTGATGACTCAAGTGAGAGATGGCAAGTTTCTGCCTGGCCCCCAGCAATCTGAATAATTGCTTTTGTGCTGGCTATGGTTCGTCCGAAGCTGGGACAATTCGACCTGAGCTTGTCTGAAATCAGTGGACCTTCCCGCCAGGAAAGTGTTTTTCTTTTGGTTTGTTCCCTGGAACCGTCCAAAGGGGGTACACCAAGCTCCAACAAGTTGGCACCCCTTTTTAGGCATACAAAGACCCCCATACATGGTGGCCTTCCTTGTGCGCGCAAAGTGTCCGTCAAACTTTCCGAATAGACCCGCTGGCCTCGGTTTTCAGGCCGGCGATGCCTCGAGCAGGGCATGGAGTCGCCACCGAGGAGAGCTTACTGACGTGACTTTACTTTTGGCAAGTGTTCTGATTTGTTAGATTCTATTATCAGATGTTATCAGTTTTAGTAGGGGGCTGCAAAACATAAAGCGTTTTGCTGCCGTGCCAAGGGTAGTCGTACTGAGAAGGTTTACTTGTGAAGCAGTGCGTTTTTGGATCCTTCATATCAGGCAAAAGTTGCAATTGACTGGTGGTGTCGTTTGGAAACCCTGTATATCCTTTAGCTTTCTCCCTGAGTTCATGGACTTATACTTGTTGAGAAGACCATGTTAGAGGAACACCACGAAGAAATAGTGTTTATTTGACCAGTGATTTAGCCCACAATTGTGGGGGTTGGTTGAAGAATTCCGGGCAAAACCGAAATTCCATGACCACTGCCCCCCTTTCTTGCAGATCTTTGCATATCCTTTAAGGAACGTTCAGGCGACTGGCCGACTGGCACGCGGGCGCTCCGTTTTGCTCAGGAGCGGCGCCTGAACGCGGGGCTCCAGACGCTGCCCTCGGGGCTCAGCGCCTTTCCGGTGGCCAGGCAGAGCGCCTTCCATCGACGCTCGCAGCAAACGGAGGACACCCGGAAAGGCCCCGGCCTTTTGCAGCCGCAAGCCGGTTTTTTGGACCCACAAGACCTGGACCTGCCAACCACAGAACATCACCAGAGGCGATGCAAACCTCCAGAGCCGTTTTTTTTTTTTTTTTTTCCAAGCGCAAAGCTGTTTTTTGGATACACCAAAGGGTGAACTGGAGGTCGAGAAGCAGCTTTGTGGGTGGAATAACCTGGCCCCCAGGAAAATGGGACACCAAGAGAGAGACTACAAAACATGGGGGCACAACCCAACCTTCCATGATGCAATTGCCACTCTCCTGATGTTTTGCAACTGTTAGGGGAGTTTTACGTTTTGGTACTGCCGAGGCCATGGTTTAAACCACCCTTTGGAAGGGAGCCCAATGTTCAATCCCTAATTTTGGCCAGCCCCGCCCCAGACCTCCGGATGCCTGTTAGTTTGTTGTTTCAAAGGCGCACGAAAGGGCAAACGCCCCTTAAAATGGCCTTTGCCCAGACCTCCAGTAAGACTTAATAATTTCCTGTCCAAATCTGGTCAGCCACGAAAAAACAAGTCATGTGTTTGGCCCACAAACCCTCCGCACGTTGCCATGGATGCCCAAGAGAAGGTTCCTTTCCTAGCATCCGCACATCCTCAATGGGCTTTGAAAATCGCGGAGGGTTCTAGTTTGGACCAATGTTTTGCTGCTCATGTTGGTGGAAAATTGGGCTGTGACTCCCGTTGAAAGTGATCGAGTAGTTCTGGATCGATTGGATCGAATGCCTCACTTTATTGCTGGAAGCATGTGTCAAACTAGTATAGGGACCCCTTCAAAAGTTTTGATTTCGCTTAACATCCCCTCAAAAAGTGTGTCTTTTGAAGCATCTGGGTCTCATTTAGTATGTTTTCCCAATCCCACATAAATGGTGCATTTGCGCCTCCACCTTCTCTTACTTCTACTTGGGCGTGTCTTTTTGAAGGGTTTTCTTTGAGTTCCAAACGGGTTGCTTCCATACTGTAGATGGACAAGATTCTACACCACTTTGAAACCTTCAGAATGCATTTGTTCGTGATATTTGCAGCGGAATCATCATGCCAGGGTTTCTTAGGTGGTGCCTAAGAGGATTGATGTCGCAACCATCCATAGGAACCAGACAAAAGATGGTATTTCAACCACATGGGAGTTGAGTTACCCAGGGTCAAAACTGGGGCCCTGAATATCGGGAATATTGTTCTGGACCAGGCTTACTAACCACTTACCTGATGTACCCGATCACCCCTTGAAGAAAGCAAATCACGATGTTTTTGCTTTGTTGTGTCAAAAATCAGAAAATTCACGGATTCTTTTTTGCTCGGCGCCGAGGGAGCATCAACCAAAAGATGCCGGAGCTCTGGTCCGACTTCTCCGACCGTGGCCTCCCACAGGCCACGGCATGTGTCCAAAAAAGGGGGCCACATTTCGAGCCATGGCCTCAGATTTTTCGCCTCCCCGAAAATCGAGAAAATCGAGACTGGACTTTGCCCTCAGAATTTTTCCCACCCACCTGAGTTGCGGAACTCGGACTTGAGTCACTTTTTGGGAATCTGGACCGTTTTAGGGGTTAGTCCAAACAGTTTGAACTTTGTTTGGCGAATCCACTCCGGAAGTGAGTTTACATGGAGCCCACAGTTGTTATGGGGGGTTCCATGTTGAGCTGGAGAGAAGTTTCCCCTTTTGGTCTATGTTTAGTACTGGCGCCAAAGGTACCCAATCCAAATTGGCATCTCTTGTGAATTGATTTGATATTGCATTGTTCACTTTATGGTTCACGGATATGGGCCAGAGTCATGTTTGCTAGCCTGGCATTGATTGATGTGTGATATGTTTTCAGATTTTAATGTTTACCAAATATGGACAGGCTCAAAGTGTTTACCATGCTACACAACCAGCGACGCAGCCAAGGGATTTGTCCAGTTTTGGACAGCTCTGCTCCGCGTTAAGTCAAGAAATGTCAAGGATCGAAAGATTGTCAATTGAACTCCGACCCCTTCTCAAGATTCGCGAACTCAGCACAAAGGCAACAACAATACGAACAATAGCAAGAAATTCTGGAGGTTCCCTCGTTGAACTTAGCGCCTGCCGCGCTTTGGGAGATTGCCAAGATGCCCAAATGTTGTGTGCCATTGACCAGGTGGAGTGGATATACGGATATGTCTGTACCTTGAGTGGTTTCTGTATGTGTTTGTGTGAGTTTGTTCGCTCAAGTCGCAGGATGTTTGTCCCGCGGTGAGAACTTAGAGCCATGCCCTTTCCAAGGGCCTAAATCAAGCCGAGTCTCAGCACCTGTTTTGGGAAACTTGACGGGGGGTTGGATGGGATCATCTGAGTGGGGGCGCCAAGCCGCATGGTTCAAATCGATTTGCGCGAGGCCCGAGCAGGCCCGCATGAGAGGATCGACAAGTACCACGGGGACCATGCAGCTTGACCGGGAACGGGGGTCCCCTCCTCAACCTGGTTCCCAGCCACCTGGTTCCTTAGCTTTTCAGATCTTTTTAGTTGGTTTAATGGTTGGGTGTCCATTTAACCCACTAACAGTTCTTCATTTTTACCCGGGGCTCCGAAAACGGACAGCCCAGCAACATAGCGCCTGTTGGGTGGTGCTTTCCTGAGCAAACTGATCTCAGGTGCCCTTCCATAGGTGCCTGGTGTTAGTGGGAAGAGTTCCCAGAACCACCACACAGAGGGTCCCTTGAAGAGGGTCCCTTGAAGACGACGTTGATTTCTTCACATGCAATGTTTGTGGGAGGAAAGGTACGGAAGTTGGGGGAAGGCAAGACAGGAGAAGGGCCGCGTGTGTTTTGTTTCCACAGCAAAAACTTAAACAGTTTAGACTTGTTTGGCCCATCTCAGGAAGTGAGATTTAGGGTGTCCTTGTTTTTAGCAATGTCGGAACCTTCAGTTGAGTACCGGGCTTTTGACGGCTTCCCAGCTTCACAGCCTAAGAGGACCCAAAAGGCCACTGTGGAGCCGATGTTTGGGTCTTGGGCTTCACCTTGGCCGCACCTCCCGCTTGGGGGTTTTTGTGTGGAGGTGATGATTCTTGTCGGGGTTTTGAAGAAAAACGCAAAGCAAACTTTGGAAGGTCCGGAGGTCCGAAGCAATTTCCCCCCTTGGTCAAATGGGTCTTGTTTTTTTGTTTTGAGAGAAATAAATAGTTTCTAGTTAAGCTGACCCGAGGAATGATGCCCCTTTGAGTTGTTTCGTTTTCGGGGTCGGGAAACACGAGTTATTTCAGCCTCGAAATCCAGCGGCAGCCTGGGAGTTATTCACTTTGAGTTCTCCTGTTTTAGTCGTCCATGCATTCATTTGCTTAAGAATATTCTATATTTTCCCCTGTTGGTTTTTAGGTTGGAATCTATCACTGCATACAATTTGCTCATTCTTTCCCAGGGACAAAAACGCTAGATGGAGGGTAAGTAACCACGTAAGCTGCCATTACTCACTCATGGGTACCCCTTGCAAAACAAAGCTTGATTTTTTTGCCGGCCGAGGACATGTCCAGGACTTCTGCACCCCTCTCCTCCCGGCCCGGCAAGGTGGTGTGCCTCGGATCGAGTCCAAACCCTGAGATTCCATCCGTGCCACTTGTGGAAGACCCAGTTGCCCAGGGATTCCGCCCGTTTTCTTTTCTTCTTGTTTTGGAAGGGTTCCCCTTTAATCTCAACCAACCATAAAAGGATACCCTTTTTTTATGGCCACTGGGCATGTGAGAAGACGGGATGGATGGCACAAGGGCTGCAGGTACGGGATGCGGGGCAAGTCAGAGATCCTGAGAAGACTTCTCTGAAGGGTCAAGAAAGCTAACTGTTGTGCCCTGCTCCGGGTTCCATTTCCGGAAATGTGGGTACAAGGCATGTTTTTTTTTGTTTTTGTTTTTTCTCCGTATGAAGGCCCCATGTTTTTCCAGTGATTCAATTAAGGCCTGGTTGTTTCAGGTAGGGGTCTTCGATTCCTTGCGGCGACTTCTTAGGCAATCACCAAGCATGGCCACGAATTCCCCATGCGGCGGCTTTGGGGAGCCCTTTTTAATCGAAAGTGGCACTTGGCACTTGATGTGTGTCAAAATAGGGCTGCTAAAAATGTGTTGTTTGTGTCCCTTTCAACCAACCCCAAGAGTACCCTCAGAAATATATGCACCTATGAAATTGCCTCAGTGTCCTCGCTTGCCCAAAGCGATTTGACCCATCAATCCCTTTAACCTTTTGTTTCGCCCGTGGGCCATGCCTTGTCAAGGTTCCGACAGATGATAAACCTAGGTTTTTTAGAAACTGGCTGAGTTGCATGGCTTCCGGCCTCGAGAGAGTCAAGCTGTGTCATTGAGTTCCTATCTCTGAACCAAATCCATCCTCCGCAAAAGTACGAAGGGCAAACTCCATCCCCAAAGCACCCGCCTTGCCGGAGCTTCATGAGCGAACACCGCGTTTCTGTGGGCTGTACGGACAAAAACGCATGAGATGCCTTATGGCTGTTCTTTTGAGGGGGCGGGGAATTCTGCGGCCAACCGAAGGCAGAAGGGACCGGACCTCACTGGGTGCACTGAGATGACGCGGCATCCAGCTTGTCCAGGGCCGGTTTGAATTGTTAGAGTATCACATTTGCAGAGTCTTCTGAGGAAAATCAGACGGTTTAACAGTTGCATGTTGATTTCTTCTGGATTTGGTATAGCTCGAAATATGTTGCAGCCCTCCCTGAGCCCCTCCCGCCCCCCACAGACCCCAAGAACTCCCCTTCAAAAGAGAGAATGGTTCTGGGAGGACCATTCTAGTGGTCAAAACATAAGAGATCAGTTCTGACCTTGGCTCTCTCCGGAAGGGAGGGGAGGATTTGCCCGTTGCTTCGGGGCGTTGGGATCCAGGTTTGTTGGCCTTGCGGAGTTTGACATGGACGGCAGGGTCTATACCGCGGGGGAGATGGACAGGATGATGATGCCGCTTCACTCGAAAACTCGGTGCCAAAGCGCCCTCTACCCGGGGAATGTCCTTTTTTTTTTCCGGAGGGGGATGCCGAAGAGAGGTGTGGCCAAAGCTTCCTGTTCCTTTTATGGTCCATTCGGGGTTCGCCACATGGACTCGCATAGACAGGAGAAGGGTTTCAGCAATTTGATCATGTCTTGTTTGAGGATTCTCTTTTCAGCTAGGCTTTGAACAATGAAAAGCAAGAGAGGCCACTTTGTTCTTTGGGAGCTCCCCATTCCAAAATTATGACTCATATATTTAACATTGTCAAAGACTCGGGTAGAGGGAGCAAAACAAGCAATGCAAAGGTGGTTGAGGGAACTGCTGAGGGAGCCATTAGCACGTCCACAAGGCGAGCATAAGGTCCCCCTGCGACTCACGCCTAAATGGCTGGGGTCGACACAGGATGAAGTGGACAAAGGAGAGCAAAGGAGTTTTTGCCGTGACAATGAACCATTGCACACATTGCAAGTGGGGGAACTTCCTGGGAAATTCTTTGCTGTATTCTTGAAAGGGTGTTCTGGTTGGATGTCGCTTGCTCAATTAGACTACTTTTAGGGAATCGACCGCACGAGGATTTACCCGTTGGCTCACCTATCCTTCGATAAGTCAAGCTGGACTCGGCTGGTAATGACGTCCCTGAGGAACATACGAGCCAGAGTGTGAGTTCATAACCCCTATCTGAATCCAAAACAGACATCCACGCAGAGACGGCGAGTAGGACAGTTTTGAAGAGACGTGGCAAGTTTTCTGCTCGAAGGACACATTGAGCCCAGGCCACACAGCAACCTCAGAAATTAATTTGTCCTAGCCTGCGTCTCTCTAATAAAACTGTTGTTTGGTTGCTGGACCCTTGGTTTCAGCGCGTATGTCAACGCCAGGTTCCTGGGCTCATTCACGCCGCTTGTTTTTTGAAGTGCCCCAAGAAATGGAATTAGGGGAGGGAGCTATGGAGCAGAGTCAAAAACTGTAACTAGGGCACCCCCTATAGGTGCGGCTTGTTTGTTCAGAAGCCCACCCATGTGACAGCGATTTCAATCGGTCGCTTGACTCCCCGACTAAGGATTGCTGCCTCGCAGAAGTACCCCTGCTCGCGGCCGGCCACCTTCGATGAGTATGCAGCCGCTCGGAGCATTCGGGTTTTCACAACCTGCCCTTCTTCGGAAGCCGGGTCATTGTGGGGGCTTGTCGTTTTTGAGAAATCCCCGCTCAACAAAAGCGCCAGTGGTCGTTTTCTTCAAAACAACCTAGTAGCACCAAGCTTTGTGCCACATATTCTCCGGATTGAACGTAATGGACCCTATAAGCCATGATAAGCCCCCTCAGCCTTGAGGGTCCATGAGAGGGGCTTATTTCGCATTTTCCCGGTTCCCTCCCCCCCACCTCTCGCGGCAGCGTGAAATCCTCGCAAGGGAATTGCTATTTCTCTTCGGCGGATCTAGCGCGCCGGTTTGGGGCTTCTTTTTTTTTCTAAGGCGAGTTGAATGACCAAAGCGGAGTTCTATTCTTCTCCATGTTCTCACCTTCACCTGGCAGGGAAGCTCGGGACCCAGAACATAACACGCCTCGGAAAATCCGAGCAAACCCAGGGGACTGTGAACTGATTGGGACAATAGCTGGGTGCTTTCTGAGGATTTCTGA